CTCGCTCGTTCGCTCACTCACTCACTTTCTACCGTTAATCATGATATAGACAGAGTGTGACTTGGCAACAAAATGGGGCTTATTGAGTGTCTATTTCCAATATGTAATTATTTACGCCTTGATAAAGAATCATCTGTAAATAAGTGTTCACCGAATACGCTTTTTCAGTCTTTTAAAGGTGACCAACGTCTGTATTTATTGAACTTTTGAGGTAGTATAACAAACCGTGGTCGTGTAATAATTGTACGGCCTGGCACTTACCTCTACCCCTGCCTCGTACGTTGCTCCGTTAAGGTATGTGCCTTGCATGATATTGATGAGCAGCGTTAAACTGTTTTCCACTCCTAGGTCATAAGCATTAGCATCGAATGTGAAGCAACGTCTGTTCCATCTCTTGCTGTAGATCATGGATGATGCCTTGTGAAACCGTTTAAGATGTATAAACTTGAACATATCTTTAGCTTCGTAGGACACATCCTCCCAGAATTTAACATGGTCAGTCCGATCCAGTTCTCTCCCTTCTTGTCCGTTCCAATCAACAGACTTAAACATAAATTGTACGCTACTTTTCTGAAGAACAAATTTCAGTTCCGCTGAGGTAAGGTTCCGTTTGGATGTATCAAATTGATTCTTGTTGCAAATAGTGATGGCAGGAAGCCTGAGTCGTTGTCTGCTCTTTCTTGTAATCTTTGAGGTGAAGTTGTAGCTGTAGTACTTGTTGTATAGATTCGCCAACGCGGACAGTAACATCCCTGCCATTGCCAACACCAACAAGAGCCATATTACTCTGAAACAGCAATAAATAGTTTTGTTAAATACCATTGCGAACCAGGTTCTAATTGGGGATACCTGTCCTTTATAACTGCATTTCAGCGGGACTCTCGAAGATCCGGGTTAAAATTAGTTTTCAGTAACCTATGCTTGTCGTAAGAGGCGACTAACGGGATCGGGTGGTCAGGCTCGCTGTCTTGATTGACGCATGTCACGGTATCCTAACTGCATAGATTGATTCTCATGTTGTTGATCAATGGAGTATCTGGTCCATATTGGATTATTTACAAAAAGCGGCCATACAGCTGTGATATTGTTGAGTGCGGCGTTAAACAACAAACAAACAAAAAGCGTACATCGATGCTCATGCTGTTGATCACTGGATTGTCTGGTCCAGACTCGATTATGTACAGACCGACGCCATACAGCTCAAATATTGCTGGGTGCGGCGTTAAAAAACCAAAAAAACACAGAAAAAGCATTTCAGTGAAAATGACAAAGTTATGAGGACTTATCGTGCTGCTACCATTGGCGTCAAATACGTCCACCAAAGGACGAAGAGAGAATAGAAAAAACAACAACTTGAGGTTAGTAAATCCAATCAGCTGTGCATGTACAAACTGTCGTATGCAGCGATCCAGTTTGTTCCAGGTGTGTTTTACCAGGTTCACAAGCGGAAGATCGAGAGGGACACCGTGTACCAGTATATTATGGACCGGTATATTGTGGCTCGGTACGAATGCTGCTGTGTCATGCAGTGTATGCGGTCTAGCGTTAAAAATTACGTTTGTATGATTCACTCTGGTTAAGTCGCCTTGCAAGTGCTTGCTTCTACCAGTGTGAGTGATATATTCAACTTGAAATTCAATGTTGCCTCGAGTAAACATCACTATCAATATATTGTTTTCCGTATACAAGAATGTATATGCGAACGTGTTGACAATTGTAAACGGATCTAGGTCAGTTTTAGGTTAACAGGAGTTTTCTCAAAAGTGCAGACAATACAGAAAATATGAAAGTTTTAATTATCTGAATCATAGCTAGCAGGGATGTTTTTGGCTTGGATCAGCGATGACTTACCCAAATTATGAATACAACATTCGTATTTTGTACATACAGAGTCTTGCTTATTCTATACTGGACAAAAATAGTTTGGGATATATGTAAATTTTGAAATTATGAATAATGATGTATTTATTCATTGACACATTGATAAAATATCAATCATAAAATACCAATATCCCTAACTCATTTTGTCCAGTATATATACTGAATGTAATCTAGTAACATTCACAAAGTTATACTTGTCAATAAATATATTTTCTATTTTCACTTCATCTACTTTAGACTCTCCAAATACATATTTGGTGATGTAGGTTCAAGGTTACCGTTTTGAACGATAATTACAATTTGACCTTGATTTGATCGTTATGGCCACAATGATTTTGTTCGAATCTAATGTTCATTGCAGTCATCATAGAACGTCATTTTTTAAAACAAATGTAACAATTTGTTTTTATTATTGTCTGATAATTTACCTCTTAATAATATTTTAAATGTTATTTTTTGTCGTTGGTGCAAATAAAGCAATAAACGTTGAATTGCAGATACTTTCTTCTTATTTGTCAAAAAGATGTTACTTTAATAGTGGTTAAAGTGTTCTCCCGTCACGCCGGAGACCCGAGGCCGATTCCCAACATGTGTACAATGTGTGAAGCCCATTTCTGGTGTCCCCCGCCCTGATATTGCGGGAATATTGCTAAAAGTGGTGTGCACCTAAAATTAAACCGTTATACATCTTACGTGTACAAAATATATTCAGACTTGAATGTCAACTTCTTCTTTACAGAAGTGATAACGTTAATTAAAACAGCATTTACATCTAAACCGTTTTATACGCACGGATAGTTATTTCCTTGTGGTTACATATTACAAAATATATGTTAAGAACAAAGTACCTCACCTCACAATGATATGGCGTTTCTTACAGGGTATATTTTTACAACCTTGGAGGCTTGTATCCCGCAGAAAGTCCCGCCATAACTCCTTCCACCGAATAAGTACTTCTTCTCTCAGTGTCATGCCATCCTTTACAGAGACCGCCGGTTCCACCTTCATCCTGGCAATGTTTGGAACGCTTTGTGCGGAGGCTATGAGCCGGTTAATTGAAGTATTCCAAGTTTTCCGTCAACATTACAAATATGTACATTCCGACTACGCGCAGCTCTTGTAATTACTTCTATATTCTGACAAAAGTAGATAAAAAACATTGGAACATCTGAATTGGAAAACGTTAATGGGGTTATGTTTGTGTCCAATAAAATGTATGACATTTTGATTGTATTGCAAACAGTCGGAAGAACCTCTTCCTGTAATAGATAAAACAGCTTTCAGCTTTGAGAAGAAATTTGATAATGTGAAAAATGGTAAATGGCGTGTCATGACCATAAAATAGTGCAGTATAGTGGTGAGATGATAATGGAAACGGTTATGCCCAATATGTTAAAACTTCCTGATGGTGCTGCTGTTTGTATATTGATCGACAGTGACATTTCACGTGTCAAAAAAGACTTCACCTCCTTTAATGATTAAATGTAGTTATCAACCCATCCTTCCGAGAGATGCTACATCTTAAAACGAGGCCTACTTTTGTGGACAGATTTTTCTACTCACACATCTAAAATGGTGTCAATTTTGGTGTCCTGCAAAGAATTACGATTGTGACGTCAATGTATTTAGGTTATGTGTGACCTTAGGTCTTGCAGTCTTTCGGTTTGTTTTTGCATTTTGTATTGGAAGTTGACGATTACATTAAAAAAATGTCACAAGACACACATATCGTTATGCTTTATTAACACTCAATCTTCTTTAAGCTAGCAGTTAGTCATTTCGGTAAAACTAATGTTTAGGCCAATGTATATTTAACTACAAAACCCCTGATAGCTCAAATTTCACAAAGTCAATAAGCTTGACAGTGCGCCATTAAGCAAGTGTTCTAGTATGAACAAGTGTTCTAGTAAAACAACTGACATAGACATACTGACATTACCATGTCTTGCCTGAAACCCACGCTGGTACAAACTACTGATGGCTTTTGGTCACGCCTTTCATTGATACTCATATATTTACCTAACCACTTGATAAAATCCGAAAATATTCTTTTTGTACAGGTTTATAACCGTTGCGTGGGAGCCAGTGAAACAAAACGATTTTCCAACAATTGTTTGTCTAAGATGACCAACTATTCTAACAATCAAAGCCAGTAGAGTGAGTGAGCGAGTTTAGTTTTTACGCCGCACTCAGCAATATTCCAGCTATATGGCGGCGGCCTGTAAATAATCGAGTCTGGACCAGACAATCCAGTGATCAACAGCAGGAGCATCGATCTGCGCAATTGGGAACCGATGACATGTGTCAACCAAGTCAGCGATCCTGACCACCCGATCCCGTTAGTCGCCTCTTACGGCAAGCATGGGTTACTGAAGGTTCATTCTAACCCGGACCTTCACGGGTCAAAGCCAATAGAAAGAACAGTGCAATTTGGTCTGAACAACCCATGAAGGTCGGGGTTAGAATTGGTCATCAGTAACCAATACTTGTCGTAAGAGGAGACTGACGGGGTCATGTGGTCAGGCTCGCTGACTTGGTTGACATATGTCATCGTATCCCAATCGCGTAAACCAATGTTCATACTCTTGATCACTCGTTTATGTGGTCTAGACTCGATTTTTTAGAGACCGCCGCTTCTTTGCCGAAATTTTGCTGAGTGCGGCGTTAAACAACAACCAAACCCAACCAAATGTATGATTACGCTATGCCATTTTAGAAAGTGGTCAAAAGTAACATATGTTATGATTGCGATACTGCCATTTATTGATATTGTCATTTATACCGATATAATATTAACATGTGTTATATTTGGGATTACACTTTCTTAGTAAAGTACAAAAATGGAAGTCGGACAACTGGTAGTCTAGACTGCGGACCTTGTGTTCCCCTCTGGGAAGTGAAAATTGGAACGGCTCCCACGGCCGAAAACTATGATTACACAATGCCATTTTAGAAAGTTGTCAAAAGTAACATATGTTATATTTGGGATTGCACTTTCTTATTAAAGTACAAATTCTTGTACTTTTTGGGGTTGAGTCCCATCCGGGATTCGAACCCACACCCTCAGAGTCAGGAATCTAATCGCCAGCACACAAAGTCAGCCGCCTAGGTGCCTGACTCTGAGGGTGTCGGTTCGAGTCCCGGATGGAACTCAACCCCCAAAAGTACTAGAACTTGTACTTTAATAAGAAAGTGTAATCCCAGATATTACATATGTTACCAAACAAATCTAAACAATCTATAGTCAAGAATTGATTGTGTGGACAATCTCCGTCTTGGTGACAGTATCCTCAGGGAGTGGACCTGCCTGTCCTCTGCCGCCAGTGTATATAGTTAGGTGCAGCATCCATGTAGTAACTCGAACTGATCCAGAAACATGTTGACTCAGCAACATCTCTGAAAAAGTGGATGAGTGAGTGAGTTTAGGTTTAGCAATATTCAGCAATATGAGTGAGAAAGTAAGTTTAGTTTTACGCCGCACTCAGCAATATTCCAGCTATATGGCGGCGGTCTGTAAATAATCGAGTCTGCGCAACTATTAGCCAATGACCTGTGTCAACCAAGCCAGCGAGCCTGACCATCCGATCCCGTTAGTCGTCTCTTACGACAAGCATGGATTACAACGCGGACCTTCACGGGTCGTTCCGCAATATCAATATTTTAACCATGTGGGGAATGGAACCCGGGTCTTCAGCGTGACGAACTGACGATTTAACCACCAAGCTAACCCACCGCCCCTCTCTGAAACAGATATATGTTTTAGGACACGTACAGTCCGTTTGAGTCAGAAACGGACCGATGAATTGCAAATTTGATCATTGTACAAAATTGCCACAGAAATATATAGTCACATGTTTATCATTTACTAATGCCCAGCAGCTTTCTTATATTTGAAAATTTTCCGGACTCCACCAAAAAAGTTGTTTAAGAAACTATCATCATTGAAAACGCAAAAGTTGTTATCTGTCGCGGCGGGGTGAAACCGCAGAAAGGGAACAGCCAGTCATGGCGGGGGACATCTCAAAATCTATTCCGGGAGACCTGTCGGTTCCTCGTCCGTGGTAGTGTCATAGTCACGACTTAAAGGGATGACAAGTGGTGCCACAGTTGCCTGTTGTAAGCCATCCCGAGACCAGTAACCTTGTTCAATGACGTTAGCTACCTTGTTGACACAGTTTTGCCAAGTTTCAGTCGTGATTTTGTTAAGGGATTCCTTAACCAAAACCTCTACGTCACATAATCTAAAAGTTGTGTTTGATCTGGCAACATCTCCTTTGACAATACCCCATATCATTTCAATGGGGTTAAGGTCACAGTGATAGGGTGGAAGTCGCAGAATATCGTGACCCTTACTTTTTATGTAACTGTCAACTTTGTAGATTGGTTCGCCTTTGTGGTTTGTTATGATCTCATATAGCTGAGGCTTCGTTGCCTTTGAAGGCCGTGCGATCTGAAATTTGTCGAGCCATGATATCATATCACCTTTTCGACTGTTCGATTTTGGGGCTTTACTGTCAGGGTCCTGCACGCTGTGGTATGGGGCATTGTTCATTACGATAAAAGACTTCTCTGGTAGAGCTGGTACCAACAGTCTTGTTTTTAACCCAATCGAGGAAAACCGCACCATTCATCTCGGAATGGTAGTCTCTGTTATCTGTGGACTTTGCCCTGAATACCAAGTCGCAGCCTTGAAGAAAGCCTTTGCTGGAGCAACCAGCATGGAGAATGATTAGTCTCTCTCCTTTCCCTAGAGGCAGATTTCTACGTGACCGCTTATCACCCCCATCGGGTTCCCACTGACTGCTGGCAGTGTGCGAGGCATTGACCCAGATCTCGTCCAAGTACACTAGCTCGAACCCTTCCTCGCGCTTCTTCTTTATAACCCTGAGAAAATTATTTCTCAAGCGATCGATATCAGGGCGTTCACAGAGTACTGACCTATTCTCCCCCGAAATTTTCTTATAACGATACCCGAAAGAGTGTAAGAGTCGCCAGAGTATGTACTTTGATACTCTGAGGTTGTGTTCTTGCTTCATATAAAATGCTTTTTTAAAATTTTCAGCGACATGTATTTGTTTTCAGAATAGAGCTTGTTGATAGGCTGCTTTACAAGGTTCTTTTGAAAGTTGTCCAAATGTTTAAATTTGTGTGATTTTGACACGACCCCTACCTGCTTCGCATCACCCTCACAATGTTTGTGTTCCAGAACATTTGTCAGTACCCTTGCTGATACTCCTAAAGCTTTTGCTGCCCGCTTACGGAATTTATTAACGGCATAAAATGGTTTGCCCCTTTCGGCTTCAGCACGGAAAAAATCGTACACTTTAATCATCAACTGTTTCACGTCAGCATTCAACTTCTTTTTTCATCAGGCATGTGTATCCCGTGCACGACGAGATAGTGGCTGTTCCGTTTCTGCGGTTTCACCCCGCCTGGACAGATAACAACTTTTGCGTTTTCAATGATGATAGTTTCGTAAAAACATTTTGGTGGAGTCCGGAAATTTTCAAATATAAGAAAGCTGTTGGGTATTAGTAAATGATAAACATGTGTACCATTTATATTTCTGTGGCAATTTTGTGCAATGATCAGATTTGCAATTCGTCGGTCCGTTTCTGACTCAAACGGACTGTTGTAGTGGGTAAAATAGGGCAACAGTATTAACTTTGTTAACATCACAAGGCGAGGCCGTCACACTATTGCAGAAATGCTACCGTTACAAACCAATATCACAAGCACAACATTCTATAAGCATGAGATATTAATAATGTTGATGTTATTTAATGTGCATGACAGATTGATATTGATATGAACAAGAAGTATACCATAGATAGGCATAGTTAAATTCGAATACTACTTCTGGTATAGACGGGACGGGGATATCCTAGTGGTTAAAGCGTCAGGCCGGCTTCAGATCCGTGGAGCCGTGGAGATCCGGGTTAGAATTGATCTTCAGCGTCCCATGCTTGTCATAAAAGGCGACTAACGGGGATCGGGTGAATTGTTTGACACATTAATCGTATCCCAGTTGTATAGATCGATTCTCATGCTGTTGATAACTGGCTTGTCTGGTTCTTAGTATTTACAGACCGCCGTAATATAGTGTGAGTTAAATAACAAACAGACAACCTTGTGGGTATATACAGTGTGAGGTCATTTATTGTAATGAGCACCGATAAAACAGTCCATTCTCGCAGTTATGTTCAGATCGATTGGAAACCACTCACCTTTCACTCTTACCGACAAACATGACCTTGAGGTTCGACCCGCTTTCAGTAACCTTTGCTGGTAGATAGCACGGAGATTTATCTTGAGCTGGGGCAAGGACATAGTCATTCTTCCAAATGGGCCTTATCGGTGTCAGAGCACCAAACAGATGCACGACCTCAACCTCCTCCTCTGCAGAGTTGTTGCTGCTTGCAGATTGTTGCCAGGCGACCTTGTAGTGATGTGGAGTCGTGGCAATGCCAACAATCCGAGCTGCAACAAGTAAAGCACATTGAAGATGTCAACCTCAATTATATATTTCCCATTCCTTCAAACAGAAGCAACAGTGTGTTATAAATGCACATGTTGTAATATAGTAGTATACAACTAAGCACAGACTACCAGTGGTCATCAGCAGGAAAACGCTGTACATTCTGGTGCGTACATCAAGCTGGAGGCTCACTCTATGATTAATATACATGTAGTAGAAACATTGTCAGAAATGGGGTAAAACCATGCACACACACACACACACACTTACAGTTTTTCATTCACTAGTGTAAGTCAGCATGATTTCCATTTAAATTACATAGGTTTGGTTTAAAAATTATACGTTGATTTATAGCCACTCATTGAATGGTAAGAATATTAATAATATGATAAATTCTTGATATTGTAACTTGTGAACATTTTACGTTCCATTCTTGACAGGTTTGTCTAAGAATTGTCTAAGTACCGACTAGTTGTTTCAACAATATTATTTCAGCAATAATCAAGCCATACATTTGTACATTAATAAAGCAACACTGGATTCTAAGGGCCATTTTCAAAACGTTGTTCAACACAGATTGTAAACCAAAATCCACTGTGTTCTTTAATCTGATTGGTTGAAAAACGTGATCAAATGGTATTAGATTCCCGGAAATTCGCTGCGTATCAATACATACAAACATCGCTCACACCATTGTATTGTTACGTCGTCAGCTGTGATGACGTCATTAAATCATATTGTGACGTAAAGTCCAAATGACGTCACAAATGAGCAGTTCCAGATGCTACCATGGGAGACAGCCGAAACGCCCGTCTGATGACATTTCACTGCTGTACCCGTACTCGATGTCAATGAGTGCAGACACAAAAACGTGTGTGGACCTTCTGGTTTACTTTTGTGTTTACAATGTCGATAAACATCATGTGTTGGCCAATTTCCGGGTGTTATTGAATATTTGAAGCACGGGAATTCATTTGGAACCGACGGCGTCAGCCGGAGGTTTCAAATGAAATATTCCCGTGCTTCAAATACTCAATAACACCCGGAAATATGCCAACACATGATGTTTATCTCCTAATTATCATAATCTCCAACACTGGAGTGCACATGTTAATCTTTGAGTACTGAATCCTGCCGTTGTGCCACGTTTTGATAACCATCCCCTTGCCAGTTGCACGATATTCATGGATGAGAAACGCTAGTCTTCTGGAGTCGACATCCGCCATTTATAAACCAATGTCCTCCAAACATTACCATGGCCCGTATGTTGCCCCGATATGAACCCAATCGTAGAACTTTTGGACTGTCATGGACGGGTTAGAATTGGTCTTCAGCAACCTCGGCTTTAGTAAGAGGCGAGTAGCAGGATCTGGTGGTCAAGCACGCTGACTTGCATGTCATTGTATCCCAATTGCGTAGATTGACGCTCATAGTGTTGATCACTGGATTGTCTGGTCCAGATTCGATTAGTTACAGACCGCCGCCGTGTGAGTGCAGCGTTAAGTTTCAAAGAAACAGACCTACCTAGATGGTATTCACCGACTTTGTTTCTTGCTAAAACCGTCTGATGCACCCACTGTTCCGCAATTGCCTTGATATCTGCAACATCTTTGTTGTGTTTGTCTGGAGCCAGAGCAACGTGGGCTGTGGTAACTACAGTTTCCGTCCCATCATACATCCTCACCGACATCCCGTGACGCCCTACAGACACCACTTTCCCAGGAGCATAACTTAGAGGGTAGTAAGGGTGCTCTGCTAAAACCTGTAGTGTTAAAAATCATCATAGGAATCATTCGCTTGCCAAAGGTTAAAGCTTCCAAGCCTTAGCTAATGTTCCAAGCCAAATTTAAAGTTGTCCAGCAACTGAAAACGTAATCGCAACATGTCTCTCAATGTATCATTCACATACATAATTCAATTAGGCGTTCTGTCTGTTTGTTTTTATAACGCCACACTAAGCAAAATTCCAGCTATATGATTTCAGAATCTTTAGAGAAGTATTTTTCAATAATTTAACATTTGTGATCCAAGCTTATTATTTTGTCACTTTCAAATGGCTTCATGTGACTTTTGCTCAAACGTTGTCTGATCAAGATTGAAACATTCAAGCCAAAAATGAAGCTTTTAAAAAGTCTTTTCCAAGTTCGAAGCATCATGGACAAAAATAATTGTCGAGGTAATTCCCTATTTTGAATTTATGGTCCTATTGTGCAGCCGTGGAAAAAAATGTCACTATTATTTAGACGTACAACTGGCACAGACAAATCCTCGTGAGTCAACGACTCACCTCTACTTGCATGTGAATGTGCCCCGAAAAGTGTTTAATTTTACTGGGACTTTCTCATGGTCGTATGATTCAACATGTCTTCCAAATGTCGTGTGTTCCACTGTATGCAAAACGATAAGAATAAATTCAGTACCCCTCGGCCAACTTTGATATTTGTCTTCAGGTCCATTTGTCTGATGATGTCTTCCCGCCATATTTCTTCTTGGTGACCATTGACGTCACTAACGCCGTAGAGGTTGTTTTGACAGTTCTGGAGCACAGTACCTAGAACACGATGGTGTGTGAAAGACTTAGGTTCAACGCCGCTTTGAAGTTATGCAGATAGTTGACGTGTATCACCTTTGTATAAACATGGCTTGTAGTTGATGATAACGATGATGATGATGATGATGATTTGGAGATTTTAAGTGCGCTTTCCGTCATGATTTCTCATACGGTATCTATGTAGTATTTGTGTGTCTGTTTGTTGTTTAACGCCGCAATCAGCAATATTCCAGCTACATGTATATGGCTGCGGTCTGCAAAAATAATCGAGTCTGGACTAGACAATCCAGTGATCAACAGCATGAGCATCGATCTACACATCTGGGATACGATGACATGTGTCAAACACGTCAGCGAGCCTGACGAGGCACGATGTATGGTACACACGACTAAATAATATGCAGCCTTTGCTTCCAATCAGATCTCATCTAAAACATACCATGGTAGTACCAGCCATCATCCGGGGACTTGAAGAACACTCGTTCTCCTGTTTTCAATTTAGGCAGAAGTGGTCGCAGTTTCACATAGGCAAGTGTATCTGTTCAACGACAATATGAAAAATATGTGGTCACTCAATTTCAGGATTATTTTGATCTGGATGTTATGTGTAAGGGTTGGTTTACCCTTTTGGAGCAACACTTAAAATAACACTTTGATCCGCAATGCATTAGACCTTATACTCACCATATTGTTGTTGCTTGGTCACTTCGAGTTTCATCGGGTGTTTCGACGGTTGCAGAGAATATTGAAAAGAAGACAAAAACAACATATCAGAGAGTAGAAAACAATTTCATTTTACACAGAATTTGGGTTTTTTCGTTCATCACAAACTACCAGACCCAGACAATTTCTGACTAAAGCATAAAGAAATAAAGAGCTCAAATATAAAACGTACATGTTATAAGTGATCTTCAGAAACGGTCAAGGCCTACAAGTGCCTGTGAATATTCCGTACGTGAAAATGTGCAGAAAATGTAAGTGAAAATGTAGCTTTTATTAGTAAAATGAATTAACATTTGTTGGAAAAATGAATTAGCTTTTGTGGTAAAATGAATTAGCTTTTGTTGGTAAAATGAATTAGCTTTGTTGGTAAAATGAATCAGCTTTTGTTGGTAAAATGAATTAGCTTTTGTTGGTAAAATGAATTAGCACTTGTTGGTAAAACACAAGCCACTTCCCCAGTCTAGAACAACCTGATTCGTTCACACTATAAGCATACGGTCACTGTATTTCCTAAAACGCTACATCATATGTGTTTTTGTTGTAACACAGAATTATCGACATTAAAGCATTCATTGACTCTAATTCTTGTCAGTGAATCAATAAGTCGATGTTGTCTTATATCTTATAATTTATGAACATGGAAAATCGTGCTTTAAAATGCATGTGTATAGACACTCACAATTTGGTTTATTTTGTTGAGGCACTATTTTGTCCACGGGAGATGCTTCTATTCCTGCGAACAGGAACAAAGAGATATGAAAGTATCAGAATACTTATCCAGATTCGTGTACATATGTTAACACTTTTACAAACTCAGAGTTAATGCTATAAAGATACCAGGGCCAACGACAACCGGAATTAGATAATGACTCGCCTGACATAATAAGATAGAAATTAATTTAGTCTCTACACAGATAGATACACACGAAGATAAGTTGGAATTTATTTAATCACTTCACAGATGGAAGCACAGGAAACTAAAAAAAATTTAAATGAATGAATTGAACCTACTTGGACCCAGTTCATGTCCTGTGTGTTTTCCCGCTACAGGTGTCTTTGGTTCTATTTTCTGAAGGCAACAAACGTAAAATTATTAATTCTGTATCTCCCGGTGGCGGTTGTTATTGTGGGTTAATGGGAGAGTCATTGAAAAATGAAAAAAGCGTCCATAAAATATAAAACTCTGTTGCTCCACACACATTGGTACGATGATTGCGTTACTAATTACGGGTGCAGTTGCAGTAACTGCACCCCAAGCAATGTAACGGAATCATAAATATTGTGATGATATGGTTTTGTATATTGATAATTACTGTAACCGTATACTAAAAGCAATGAGTCAGTTCTGTCCAGATGATTAAAATGAAGAGAACACATTTCAAACTTACAATAAAGTATAGGCAGAATCTGAGTGCCCGATTTGAAATAACAGGGCCTAGATTTTCGAAGCTCTCTTAGCGCTAAGATAGTCGTAAGTGCAATACATTAACATTAATCTAGGCCCTGGACTCGAAAGAAACACACAGGGATAGCGAGTGCATCATTTTGTATGTGATTCTAAAACTGACCAGGTTTACTTTGTATTCGTGCGTACAAGCGATGTATACGTTTAGTTGTGTTTAGCTGTACGTTTGTATCACTTCCTGAAAGTACACAGGGTAGCCCGTGGGAGGGAGGGAGGGAGGGAGAGAGAGAGAGAGAGAGAGAGAGAGAGTGAGAGAAAGAGAGAGAGAGAGAGTGTGTGTGTGTGTGTGTGTGTGTGTGTGTGTGTTTCTAAATGCTTTCCAAGAACTGTTATCGCATTGTCGACATTCTCAGAGCTATCAACGCTTATAAGAATGTGTTCATGTCTGACATACTACGTATCTAGTTCGACACGTCAAAATTTAGTTCAACACGTCAAATATACATTGTTATTCGAGGGGTGTTCATAAAGTCCTAAGCCCACTTAGAAGATGATACAAATGCAGCAGTTTTATGTTGTATTTTTCTACATATTATCTGTCAACCTCAAGCAAATAGGTTTTGCTATGTTCCAGCCTCACGATGCCTATTTTGTTTGACTTTTTTATCTTGGTACCCACCCCCACCCCAAAAAAACAATAAAAACAAAACAAAAACAAAAAAACCCCGCAAAATCTGCAATAAATGCATCACAAACTTCAAGAAACAAAATATGCAAGAAACATTTTGTGTGTTTGATATAGGCAGAAGTCCGCTAGAATCAAACTTAGTGTTAGATATCAAAGTGCGTACAAAAGTAATTTGAATCTACAGTTGCTTTGTTAAAGTGACTCCCCCTTTCATGTTTACTGACAGAACTACATCGCTTTCAGATGACGTAATCTTAAGGACATAACTTATTCTCATGTTTTCACATATTCATACATGATGCTAAGGGTTCAAACTAAATACTGAATGGTCACACAAGTATCAGCTCTCAATATATTGTAAACAGTGCCAGCTTGAATATCTGGACACAATGTTTTTTGAAAGATTAAAATCGGAGTGTCCTTAAAAAACAGCCCCCGTCTAAATATATATCAAGCATTCCAAATTGTTGAATATTGATTGTGACGCGTAGCCATCCAATACTTTACTGAACATATTTTATATAATATCTGAGGGCATACCATTATCCAAGAGGTTCCAAATGACAGATCGGTTTTCATTTTCTTCAATTTTTAAAGAAATATTATACCCCAATATCTCACTAACCACATTACCCACATATGTGAAATTTTGGACATGGCCTTGTCAATGATTCCTTCAAAATAAAATGGAAGCTTTTCAAACATTGGACATCGAGAATATAGTTACATGTAGGCTGACTACTTTTTTACCCTTGTACATTTAGGAAAAACATTCTTGGAATGCATGCAAAATGACTGTAATGGTACCATTTGCTTGGAAATGTGAATGGTAACATTTGGAAGCTACTTTCAGATAAAATATTCCTAGTAGTGCAATCGGTATTTTGTTACCTCGGCGTTTCAAAATTTTTGACTTCAAACGTATGAGCATTTTTGCTCTATCTCTGCATACGAATAAAGAGACCACAATGGCCTTACACATTGTTCCAATAACCAGAATTAAACCAACCTGCAGCATGATGAGTCAACACTGAAGCCACTCGACTACCCCACCTCCAGAAAGATAAGTGAGTGAGTGAGTGAGTATGTTTTTACGCCGCTTTTAGCAATATTCCAGCAATGTCACGACGGGGAACACAGAAATGGGTTTCACACATTATACCCTTGTGGGGAATCGAACCCGGTCTTTGGCGTGACGAGCAAACGCTTGAACCACTAGGCTACCCCATGATTGAGAACTCACCTTCCACTTGTAGAGATCGAACGGGAAGTAAGCACTGGCTGCTTGACAAAAGTTAACCTTGTACAGACAGGATTTGTGTAAATGATTAAAACACCTGGCCGTGCACACCAACCCACCATCTTCACGAACCTTTTCATTGTGTACGCACAAATTCTGATCACATGAACATTTCTTACGATGACCCTGATGCAGCACATCTGCAGAAGAAATTACGGAACCTTTTCTAGGTAATCCACTTTGGCATCTGTCGTGCGACCATAACCCTTTCCCCTGTGGGCCACGTGAAACTGCTCTCAAACTAGCTGTACTTTGTGGCCTTTTGGGATAAAGATCTATATTCAGTGACCCACTCCGGGCGTTGATGACTGAATTCAGGAGCGCTGGTGGCAAGAAGACAGCTATAGGAGTTATTTGCGTTGACGTCTTTGATTTTTCATAAGGTGAAGTCCATGGTCTTCGACCATCCGACCCAAGGCGGGATAAATATGGCGTGCGTAATCTTTTTGACCTTTGTAGTTCCTGACGCGGCGAAGACTGTGTACCTTGTCCATCTGACCTCTGCCTTTGCTGAAGCGGTGAATGCAGCGTACCTTGCCCATCTGTCTTCTGTTTTTGCTGGCTACCTGGTCTTCGTGTATGTGTATAAGGTGAAGACGGAACATGACGGAAGTCATGGGCGTTGGAGCAGGGTTGAAACAATCCGGATCTCCCGGTCACTGTTCCACCAAGATTTGTGAGAAGTTTCTTCCGTTTTTCATCCTCTTTTTTCCTGGGTCCGATGAGAGGAATAACATTTTTGTATTGGAAAATTGGCTCAAACTGAACTTTGTTAGCAGGCATGTCGGCACTGAATAAAAATCTATGCATAAACGGTGTGACAAGTCATGGTGGTGCGATCCGACTTTTCCTATGGTTATACATGAGATATTTGACCTCAGTCACCGGTTCACTAAATGCCGATGTGTTTATACCAGCCCCATGTATTGTGACCCTATTATCTGTAATCGATAGGTGTACATGATCACAAAGAAAACGAACACTGGCTATGGTGTGCACACCTTATCAAACTCTGCGTCAACTGGGTTACATTGATAATAATACGTACCCCGGCTACCGTTGGCAACACAGACATATGTCCACACACAGCGGATTGACATACTTGTATGTATGCCGTGCCACGAAACCTTTCATGTCTGTTGAATACGCGTTTCGGGGAAATTTTAACTGGGTGAATGGAATAATAATAGCATTAGCTGCTCTGTGGCAGGCAACAAACAAACAGTTGTGTGTGCGACGGTACTACCGTTAGGGCCGAACATGCTTTGAAGTTACTTTTTTTGTGAACATTTAATGTCACTGATTTTCTGTAACTCGTTCACGTAATAACATTAATAACACATAATATCATTAGCTGCTCTGCGGCAGGCAACAAACAAACAGTTGTGTGTGCGACGGTACTACCGTTAGGGCCGAACATTCTTTGAAGTTACATTTTTTGTGATCATCTAATGTCACTGATTTTCTGTAACTCGTTCACGTAATAACATTAATAACACATAATATCATTAGCTGCTCTGCGGCAGGCAACAAACAAACAGTTGTGTGTGCGACGGTACTACCGTTAGGGCCGAACATTCTTTGAAGTTACTTTTTTTGTGAACATTTAATGTCACTGATTTTCTGTAACTCGTTCACGTAATAACATTAATAACACATAATATCATTAGCTGCTCTGCGGCAGGCAACAAACAAACAGTTGTGTGTGCGACGGTACTACCGTTAGGGCCGAACATGCTTTGAAGTTACTTTTTTTGTGAACATCTAATGTCACTGATTTTCTGTAACTCGTTCACGTAATAACATTAATAACACATAATATCATTAGCTGCTCTGCGGCAGGCAACAAACAAACAGTTGTGTGTGCGACGGTACTACCGTTAGGGCCGAACATGCTTTGAAGTTACTTTTTTTGCGAACATCTAATGTCACTGATTTTCTGTAACTCGTTCACGTAATAACATTAATAACACATAATATCATTAGCTGCTCTGCGGCAGGCAACAAACAAACAGTTGTGTGTGCGACGGTACTACCGTTAGGGCCGAACATTCTTTGAAGTTACTTTTTGTGAACATCTAATGTCACTGATTTTCTGTAACTCGTTCACGTAATAACATTAATAACACATAATATCATTAGCTGCTCTGCGGCAGGCAACAAACAAACAGTTATTGTGCGACGGTACTACCGTTAGGGCCGAACATTCTTTGAAGTTACTTTTTTGTGATCATCTAATGTCACTGATTTTCTGTAACTCGTTCACGTAATAACATTAATAACACATAATATCATTAGCTGCTCTGCGGCAGGCAACAAACAAACAGTTGTGTGTGCGACGGTACTACCGTTAGGGCCGAACATTCTTTGAAGTTACTTTTTGTGAACATCTAATGTCACTGATTTTCTGTAACTCGTTCACGTAATAACATTAATAACACATAATATCATTAGCTGCTCTGCGGCAGGCAACAAACAAACAGTTGTGTGTGCGACGGTACTACCGTTAGGGCCGAACATTCTTTGAAGTTACATTTTTTGTGATCATCTAATGTCACTGATTTTCTGTAACTCGTTCACGTAATAACATTAATAACACATAATATCATTAGCTGCTCTGCGGCAGGCAACAAACAAACAGTTGTGTGTGCGGCGGTACTACCGTTAGGGCCGAACATTCTTTGAAGTTACTTTTTTGTGAACATCTAATGTCACTGATTTTCTGTAACTCGTTCACGTAATAACATTAATAACACATAATATCATTAGCTGCTCTGCGGCAGGCAACAAACAAACAGTTATGTGTGCGACGGTACTACCGTTAGTCGAACATCTTTGAAGTTACTTTTTACTTTTTGTGAACATTTAATGTCACTGATTTTCTGTAACTCGTTCACGTAATAACATTAATAACACATAATATCATTAGCTGCTCTGCGGCAGGCAACAAACAAACAGTTGTGTGCGACGGTACTACCGTTAGGGCCGAACATGCTTTGAAGTTACTTTTTTGTGAACATCTAATGTCACTGATTTTCTGTAACTCGTTCACGTAATAACATTAATAACACATAATATCATTAGCTGCTCTGCGGCAGGCAACAAACAAACAGTTGTGTGTGCGACGGTACTACCGTTAGGGCCGAACATGCTTTGAAGTTACTTTTTTGCGAACATCTAATGTCACTGATTTTCTGTAACTCGTTCACGTAATAACATTAATAACACATAATATCATTAGCTGCTCTGCGGCAGGCAACAAACAAACAGTTGTGTGTGCGACGGTACTACCGTTAGGGCCGAACATTCTTTGAAGTTACTTTTTTTGTGAACATTTAATGTCACTGATTTTCTGTAACTCGTTCACGTAATAACATTAATAACACATAATATCATTAGCTGCTCTGCGGCAGGCAACAAACAAACAGTTGTGTGTGCGACGGTACTACCGTTAGGGCCGAACATTCTTTGAAGTTACTTTTTTTGTGAACATTTAATGTCACTGATTTTCTGTAACTCGTTCACGTAATAACATTAATAACACATAATATCATTAGCTGCTCTGCGGCAGGCAACAAACAAACAGTTACGGTACTACCGTTAGGGCCGAACATTCTTTGAAGTTACTTTTTTTGTGAACATTTAATGTCACTGATTTTCTGTAACTCGTTCACGTAATAACATTAATAACACATAATATCATTAGCTGCTCTGCGGCAGGCAACAAACAAACAGTTGTGTGTGCGACGGTACTACCGTTAGGGCCGAACATGCTTTGAAGTTACTTTTTGCGAACATCTAATGTCACTGATTTTCTGTGACTCGTTTACGTATTTTTAACCGATTTTTATTTAAACGCCCATTAGAATTTGTCTCGTCAGACACTCGTGGCTGGCTGAGACATCTTGTCTCGAGTCATTGCATGGTGTAACAGACAAAAATGTTTATTTCACTTAAGAATTTATTTCTCAGATTTTTTTACAAATTATCCTCTTCTGCCAGTGAGGTGCTACCGTCGTTGTTCTTCAACTGTAGACCGCCTCCGTAGTCTAGTGGATAGAGGTCCTGCCCGGATAGAGCGGAAAATCGGTGGTTCGAACCCCAACCGTATCATACTAAAATAGGTTATACCCAGGTACTTGATGTTTCCCAGCTTGGTGTTCGGCATTGCAGTGTGGTATATATGTGTGAAACATCACGGTATCTCAGTGGGCTATTACTATAAAACCAGCATGAGCCTAGGGAAGTACAAGCAGCCACACAAACAGAAGCACACGCGCACACACATGCGTGCCAAAAAAGGTGCAAGTTTCCTGAACGCGACGTTGTACCACATTTGCCCTCATCTTGCCCAATCTCGACTACTGTCATACGCTTATATAACAGTTGGACACTGATTAAATGTCTATGACCCATCATATGAAAGTTTTAAACGTAGAGTTCGCGCAAATGTCATCGGTCTTCTGTCTCTGAAGATTTCATTCCTCATCGCTCCGTGTTCCTGCAATCTCCTTCTCTCATCCTCGCGTTGAAATACACAGCAACAGCATCGTAGTAGTAAGACGGGCTGATCCAGAAGCAGTCACTCTCTTCCACTTCACTGAAAAATATATACAGATGCATATCAAGGATATCGTTCGGAATGTGTTGGAAAAAGGCCGTTGGTGTGATGAAAAGCATAAACTCATAAATATCATCATGGTGGCTCTGTGCTTTCGATAGTCGACGGGATTTTGAACGTACCACCGACATTTACAAGATGGAATAATTACGAGCTTAGGCACGACCTCTAGCATCGTCAACAAGAAAACAGATCAGGACATCTCTTTTCTGTCATTTTCAAATACTCTTACTTACCTTACGGAATTCTCGACAAAAGCGACCTTCATCTTGCCTTCGTTTTTGACGGTCACCTTGGCTGGTAGGTAGCACGAGTCCAGGGGAGCCAGGACATATCCGTCTCTCTGTATCTCTCTGTAAGGAGTTAGGGAGCCAAACAGGTGCCTCACGTCCACTATACTGCTGTTAGAGCGACCCTGCATTGGTGTCCAGGTGACCTTGTATTGGTGACCATTTACACATTCGGATACGGTACCTGATGGTGAAAAGAGATGGTTTAAGTAAGTGTGAGCTGTGTCTAGGAACGTCAGGCGAACTGGGCGAAAGTGGTATTTGAAGTCCTATGATTTGCTTCCACTCCAAGAGCGTAAACGAGTGAGATTGTTGGATTGTTTGTTTGTTCTTTAACGGCGCACTCAGCAATGTTCCAGCTATGTGGAGGTGGTTTGTAAATAATCGAGTCTGCGCCAGACAATCAAGATCATAAGCATCAATCTGAGCAAATGGGATACGATGACATGTGTCACCCTAGTCAGCGAGCCTGGCCACCCGATCCCGTTAGTTGCCTTTAGCTGGAATATTACGGCGTTAAACAACAAACCAACCAACCAACCAAATTTGAAACCTACCAAACTCGTACGTGCCAGACGGAATCCTTGCTATAACCGGCTCTCCAAGCCATTGCTCTCTCATCTTAGCAATGAACGTGACATCGCGGTCATATTTCCATTTAGTCAGAGGGGCAAAGTCGTAAGTCCATTCCGTCGTTTTCCCGTCATACAGTATGACCTTGACCTTGCCTTTCTCTTTCGCCACCACCTCTCCTGGGGCATAACTGAAGGCAAATCTTGGGTGTTGAGTCACAACCTGGGACAGAACAGCAGAACAAACTGTGACTATTGAATACCCAATAAAGATGGTAACATTCTGATATCTAATTACAAACCAAAATGTTCAAACAAAAAGACAAATATTGCGTGGTTTTCCAGACAAAAACAATGACCCTCTCAATATTATTATCATCATCTATAAAAACCATTTTTGGAAGCAGATTCAAAAACAGTGTGCCACCTTTTCATGTTCTCCAGAATGAACCTAGACACTACTATATCATCACTAAGCGTTCTTCTCTAATGGAGTGCAATATCATTTATAAGTTTTGGTCTTTATGTCATGGATTGTTTATAAAATTTCTAAATCGTTTTTGTAACATGATTCTAACCTGATTGTCCTTTTGAAGTCTGTAAAATGTGTTTTTAAAACAATAAAAAATATAGAAATAATGTTCGATCTCGACCCTTATTTTGTAATTTGTGAAACTTCACTTGTATTAAAATACTAAAACAAATAATGACAAACTGAGGAAAGCGATGTTCAGCCAGAGTAGAATGATAGAGAGATGGACAGACAAACACAGAGACGGAAAGAGAGGGAGAGAGACAGGGAGAGACGCATGCATAGGTACAAACATTTTAGCCAGCCTCACCTTTTGGCCAATGGTGACTTGTGACTTCCGGTCCGAGTCGCTGATAATGTCCTCCCGCCACACTTGTTCCTGGTGACAATAGCCGTCGGTGATGATGTACATGTAGTCAGTGCAGTCCCTGGACACTGTCCCTGAAGACGTAGGGCATTGTGATCATGGCTGACGACAAGTTGGGAGACATCGTATTGCAATGGTAAAGGAACTATTGTGTACTATTGTCAATACCTTCACCTTCCCGTAACACAGCTGCTTTTGTATTATCTGGCATACTAACAAAACCCAACATGTTCTCAGCTCAGAGACAAGGATATAATTGGCCCCAGAATGAGTGAGTGAGTGAGTTGGGTTTTACGCCGCACTCAGCAATATTCCACCTATATGGCGGTCTGTAAATAATCAAGTCTGGACCAGACAATCCAGTGATCAACAGCATGAGCATCAATCTACGCAGTTGGGAATCGATGACATGTGTCAACCAAGTCAGCGAGCCTGACCCCCCGATCCCGTTAGTCGCGTCTTACGACAAGCATGGGGCAATGAAGATTAATTCTCGGTTCTTCACGGGTCAGTTGGCCCCAGAAAGCAATGTTCGTTGTAACATCGGATGACTTGACTGTCGTCCTCGACCGTTGTTCATAATATCAATCACTTGATTGAGTGGTCCTGAACAGGTCACAGTCATATTGCTGCCATAATGCGGCGGTAGCTCACGCATCGGTTCAGCAGAAAGGGAGTTCAACTGGTTGTAGTTTTTAGAATAAAAACAAATTGTTACCAATTGTAAGTGACAGTTTCACATTTTGCTACAAGTGAGTCTACGTTTTAACTACTTAGCTACCCCAACGCCAGTCAAGACTGTGGCTTCATACCATATGTGTGAAAAATATGAGGTGTAGTAGGTGTAATCTAGCCTGCTAGTGTCATGTAACCTACATACCTGCATGGGGCGGTGGGGTAGCCTAATGGTTAAAGCGTTGGCTCGTGACGCTAAAGACCCGGGTTCGAATCCCCACATGGGTACAATGTGTGAAGCCCATTTCTGGTGTCCCCCGCCGTGATGTTGCTGGAATATTGCTAAAAGCGGCGTAAAACCAAACTCAGTCAGTCAGTCAGTGCATACCTGAATAGTACCATCCGTCATCCGTGGACCTGAACAGGACCTCTGACCCCTCTTCCACCACCGGTAACCGCGCCCGCAGCTCCAACGTCCCCAGCGTACCTGTTAGACGAGACGGAATAGGGCTATACTAAATAGAGTATACTACACGAGGTCTCATTACATACGAATTCGTATGTTATGAGACCGAGTGTGGTATTTTATTTATTACCCCACGTTCTATAAATTGACGAAATAGCGTATTTTTGTTATTTTTATTGTTTCAAACCGAAACCGGTTTCACAAAGAGGTTGCGGAAGAATGTTGTTCTGTAGTACACTTTTGCATGACGTCACATTGTAATGACGTCACCACGCCTTGCTCGTCTGCCCCCTTTGTAACCGACGTCACGATGTATGTCAGTTGTCATCGCCTCGTACAGCCTCCTACATTAAACTACTCCGTAGCACCCCGTCTCTTAGTTTGCAGTTGCTTCATTCGGCTAACATCACTAGTGGAAACTTTGCGTTTATGTTTTCCGACGCATATAATGCCTCAGTTCGACTCATAATTAAAGAGCGCGAGGCAACGTTCGGAATGTTTACATTTCCACAATGCATATAAGTTGTAGAATGAATGAATTCACGTATAAAAAAAGTAGTTCCGTCACAACGTGACCTAATTGAGAGGTCATCGGTTATCCAATCAAATCGTTAGAATCTCAGGTCAAGTCGTTACCACACAGGTCAACGCGATACGACACTCGTTTGACGTACGAGATAAGTATGCACCTACCAATACGTTGACCACGTGGGTAATAAATGTTTTTCTTGCGCTCCACCAAGCAATAGTTCCCATGTGAACAATTGACATTGGGTACGCCCAGTAAAACCAGCCGACTAACCCTCCGTCCACCATCTTCCAAGACAAGTGCACTTCGTGTATATAAGTGTGTGCAACCAAGGTTGAAGTTACTGTTAGACAGTGTTAATATAGGCCACCCAAACAATTCCTCAGTCACCCTTCCCAAAATTACCTGTCCAATACGGAATGGAACATTCAATACTCTATTGGCATAGGTCACTTTGGGACAATAGAATGTCACGTGGGATGTTAGGAAAATCTAACAATTCATTACTTGCAAAAAAGGCCATATAGCTGGAATATGCTAAGTGCTTCGTCAAACAACAAGCCAAAACTAAATAAACAACAAACTAAACTAAGTTTGATGTCTTTTAGCGGTATTTGGAAGTTGTTATAGATGACCAATATATTTTATGGATTTAAGCATATTTTTCGTGTGGGTAAGAATAAGGAAGCTTAAATCCATAAAATATCTTGGTAAACTAGTTGAGGTGAGGTGAAATTGGGTTTAACGTCGTGCTGGAGAATATTTCGCCCATATGACGACGTGCATGCGTGTGTATGTGTATGTGCGGCTGCTTGTACTAGCCCAGACTTAAGCTGGTTTTATAGTGCTAGCCCACTGAGATACCATGCCGCAGTGAAGCATGAATACCCCACTCAGACACATTATACTGACTCCGAGCCGACCAGTCCTTGTTGTACCCATTAATGCCGAGCGCCAGGCAGGGACCAACAAGTACCAGTATGACGCGGCCGGGGATCGAACCCGCGACCTTCCGCTCTCCGGGAGGACGCTCTAACTACTACACCACGGAGGCGGTCTCTTGGTAAACTCAGTATGCCTATAAAATTCTGTATCATGATATTGTGGGTTTTATATTTCAGTGTGGCAATGGATGTCTGTATCAAGGTTGGCGGAATGGACCTGGTCATCTTGCAACCAGTCATGACATGACATAGTTGTCATGGGGACAAGCAGTCACCGCAATGTTGCGTTACTATCAGAAAGGAGATTAGTACTGGTGGTTGCCTGTAACCTGCAATTGTATTCAGAACCGACAGCACAGTTTTCTCAATCATTCTACCCGTGAAGATCCGGGTTAGAATTGGTCTTCAACAACCCATCCATGTGTAAAAGGCGACAAACGGGATGGGGTGGTCAGGCTCGCTGACTTGCTTGACACATGTCATCGTATCCCGGTTGCGTAGATCGATACTCGTGTTGTTGATCACTGGATTGTCTGGTCCAGACCGCCGCCATATAGCTGGAATATTACTGAGTGCAGCGTTCAACAACAAACCAACCAACCAATCTCAATCCTTCTGACTTGAAACATCTGATTAAACAGCTAGGATTGTTCATTTTTTCATTGTAGAATCGGGGCGGTAGGGTAGCCTAATGGGGTAGCCTAAAGCGTCAGCCCGTCATGCTGAAGACCCGGGTTCGATTCCCCACATGGGTACAATGTGTGGCGCCCATTTCTGGTGTCCCCCGCCGCGATATTGCTGGAATATTGCTAAAAGCGGGGTAAAACCAAACTCACTCACTCACTCATTGTAGAATTTGTGTTTACCATATTCCGGCGGTGGTCTGAGATCTTCTTTCTGACGTTTGAGCTCGGTCTTCGGAGCTATAACCGTGTTTCCCAGCATCTGGGAAATGGTAATCACTTTGTTATACCGTCAAACGTAGGAGTCGACTAATATTATGACAGGGCGTTAAAATTTCAACCGGTTTTGTTATTCACAGTTTGGCGTGGAATATTATCACTAACTCACTCACACACAAGTTTTAAGGAGCATAACCTACGGATAACATATTATTACAGCTATAGTAAATGTGATGTAATATGGCGATGGTACGGGGATAAAGGACATGAAGCACATATAGCACAGGTGCTCACAGTCACTAGGCAAGTGACTTTGTTTGAAATATGTCTCTTTTCACCAAGCAGTAAAATGGGTACCCGGAAGGATGGCATGGTAATGTCATTGTTACCCGTCTAGCTCCTGTCAAGTCAGCTTGGGTTTGTATTCCATTGACCACTAAGAGTATAGAATTCGAGTACACACTACCGATTCATTGTAATAAAAAATGCTGGTGCTAAGATAATGCTCCGCGTGCATCGAGGCTTGCGCAATGAATGTAAGCACATTATATATTTCTACGATTTTAACTGATTATTATAATTATCTTAAATAGACATTAGAGGAAAATAGTTTTGATGCAGACACCCACCGACAAAGATAAAATCCGGCTTGGAACAAAATATTTTGCATTTATTTAACGAATTATCGTGCCACCTCAGCAAGTTGTTTAGCACAATCATGTGTCGAATTCAAAGAATGTAATTAGATAACTCACTTGAACATGTTGCCTAGTGTGCGGTCTCCGTGGACTGTACCCATTGAAGGGAAAATAGATGTTTGCGTCAGATACGAAGTTCTGTTTGACGGTAGCGATGTTTCGTTGACGTGGCGTGATGTGACCTGCACGTTGACCTTGACCCGGAACTGTGCTCGTGACACAATGTCTTCCACTTTCCAGGTCACAACGCTGACAGAAACACCGACAAATGACTTTGTTGCAGCATCTGGCATCGCCTACCCTTTGAAGCATCCCACCACCACACAATTTGCAATTATCATTGGCTTCACGTATTGGCTTTGCAAAGGATACCTTAGGGCAATAATTGGAGAAGAAACTGCTTTCTGACTTGCGCAGAGCTACGCGCAAGCGTAAAGGAGTTCCTTGTGTTAATTTCGGCAGCCTTCCATCAACCGTAGCACGGGTAGAATCCTTCCTGTTACTCTTTTGAGGCAGCAATTTGATGTCGACTTTCCTTGCAAGACTGCTAAAGACGGGTTCCAATAGTGCTGTAATCCCATGATATGAAGACTGCACTTCGGGAGTTGTGATTCCACGTCGATGGTGTTGGTGGCGTTGACGCGGTGTACAGGTCTTTGCAGAACGTATACGTGGTAGATTTGCCACAATTCCTTGCAAGTTTGCCGTGAACTTTCGCCGGTTCGTATCAGTGGTTTGTTTTGCTCTACTAAGGAGAAAACTTCTAGTGTCTAAAACAACCCGTTGGTCACCGGCCATATTAGTTTTCGTATTGGAATAGTTTCTGCGAATGAAAAGCGACAAAGAAGACGACAAGGCTTCCACCAGGCGGCAAACGATGGCTTCGTTTTTCAAACAAACAAAACAACAAGACCGTTTCCAAAGTCATAACAAATTTCAGCTGAAAGCGGAATCCATTATAGTATTACCATTCCGACTAAAACATGGTCATGCGTCAATGAACCACTATCAAACTGTGATATCACGAATTGACCTCTTATAGGTCAGCATAAACTTCAGGTAAATGATTCATTTCCAGATAGCTTCTGTCAGTGGAACACCGACACGGATCCTTTTCGTTTCTTAGAAGCCCTCTGTAGTTAAAGTCACAAAACCCATTCGCTAGCGTTCACGCTGCAGTCAAGGATTTAAATGACTGTAATCGTAAAGTGGAACATATTTGGATTGCGTGTGGAGACGTCCTACAGTGGTAATAAAAGTACGTGTACTGCGACCCATTCAGTTGCATTCACCCCGTTAATCTACCCGGGAGGTGACCTCGAATATTTCTTTACGAACACGTGACAGTTTGTTGAAATCCTGGTCTCTCTTATCAACGGTTACCCGTGAAGGTCCGGGTTAGAATGTACCTTCAGTAACCCATGCTTGTCTCCCCGTGAAGGTCCGGGTTAGAATGTACCTTCAGTAACCCATGCTTGTCTCCCCGTGAAGGTCCGGGTTAGAATGTACCTTCAGTAACCCATGCTTGTCGTAAGAGGCGACTAACGGGATCGGGTGGTCAGGCTCGTTGACTTGGTTGACACATGTCATCGGTTCCCAATTGCGCTCGATGCTCATGCTGTTGATCAATGGCTTGTCTGGTCCAGACTCGCTTATTTACAGACCACCGCCACATAGCTGGAATATTGCTGAGTGCGGCTTAAAACTAAACTCACTCACACATGGCTGTGTACGGAAATCTGTTAGGGACATAGTGCAACCACACTTCATCAAAATCTCGCGTGAGTATGTGAGTTTGTTTTTTCGCCGGTTTTAGCAATATTCCAGCAATATCATTGCGGGGGACACCAGAAATGGGCTTTACACATTGTACCCATGTGGGGAATCGAACCCGGGAGCTCGGCGCGACGAGCGAATGCTTTAACCACTTTGCTACCACACCGGTCCTCAAAATCCTGAGGACATGATATAATACCCATACAAAAACAATAATATCTGAAGGCCATTATCAAATACCCGTAATGTGAGCGCGTGCATGCGTTTGTGCGTGTGTGTGTTTGTTGTTGTTTTGTATCTGTGTGTGTGCCGCGCGTGCGTGCATGTGTGTGGTGCTGTTTATCTGAAATTCACAGAGGCCTTGGTCATGTCGTAGGGAGTGAAGAGTCGGGAGTAAATACGCCATATTGAATTCTCATTTGAGAAGGTCCCCGATGTCGGTCAGCAGGTACACTATCCAATGAGAGGCGAAGAATACCAGCTGTTACTTCCCGGTTGTTGCGTTGAATTGTATAGCTTAGTTGATTGTATAGCTTGTGTGTGGACCTTGATCTGTGAGCGGGCGTTTATACCGTAGATTACTCAGTGTCAGTTTCTAGTAGACATGTTCATTCTGGATTATGGGTAGTGAGTGCAAAGCCCGAAGTGACGCACCGCACTCTTTCATGAAACAAACGAGCGTGTGTGTATCTGAGGTTTGATCTAACGATCAACGGATCCTGCCATGCTAAGGGGCGCAGATCAGCACAAGCATTTGCTGAACCAAAATACTGAGCAATTTATGCGTTTGGAATAAAATAGAACAAGCATTATCACAAAGGTGACATAATCCCCCGCCGCAAATTATCAAATCAAACTTAAAAAGTAATGAAAGCGAAGGTCGTAGTTTAAGATGAAGTTAAATGTCAACAAAAACATGACCAGTCATCCTCTCTTGATATCTTGCTCTGTAGTTGTTCAAACGCACAAATATTTTCAAGACTCACTTTGACTTTGACATGAATGTCTTAGTGTATGAAATATGCAAAATTAGTAATAAAGAAATTGCTTATTGAAAAACATTCAAGGGAAGTCTTGAAAGTCTATGAAGAAAATCCAGTCAATGGTTCTTGAGGTATCTCACTGACAAGCTTAACATGAAGCTTCACATGCTAAAATCTTCACAGTGTCGCCATGACGTGAGGGTTACCAAAATCGACTGGGCCCTGTGCTTTCCTTAGATAAAGCTTGGTGTTGAATATGAAGACATTCCAGTGACTGGTTCTTGAGATATCTCGCTGACAGGCTCGACATGCATGTTAACATGCTGAAATCTTCAAAGTGTCGCTGTGACCTTGAACATTAAGTGAAGGTCACCAAAATCGACCGAGGCTCTGCGCCTTCCCTAGATAAAGCTTGGTGTTGAATATTTAGAAATTCCAGTCAACGGTTCTTGAGATATCTCGCTGACAATCTCAACAAGCTCAAGCCTAATACTTTATATCCCCCGCTTCGCGATAAACGCGCGGCGGGGGATAATAATAGGATAAGAGTGAGGCGGAGGCTTACAATTTCAAATTTGGTTTGGATCCGATATATAAGTTTATGTTCGCGGCCCGGTATGCATTTTCGCGTTGTAAGTGTATACATGCCTACGCTTGTGTGTACTGTAAAATGTCCACTAAGTTTCACCCATGTTGGGACATGTTGTCGGGAGTTACGTCCCTTAGGACAGAATCAACACAATGATCATGTGTTCGAATCTGCCTATGATTATTGTTGTTTTTTTATTCAGCAGCAACTGCTACAGGTTTAAGGAATGCATTATCGTTGGTCAGGATTGCTGACTTGGTTGATGCATGGCATCGCATCACAATTGTCTATATCGATGTTCGTGATGACTGTCACTTGGAATGTCTGTCTAGTCCCGATTATTTACACAAATGCGTTATATAGCAGGGGGGTTACTGAGTGCAACATTATAATAATAATAATAATAATAGGCCATTTATATAGCGCCTTTCCACGTCACAGGGATATGCTCAAAGCGCTTCCTGAGCTCAAGTTAAAACTATATACAGTTGGCAGGTACGGATGATTGGAAGTCACTTGTAGCGAAGAAATAGATGAGTCTTTAGTCGTGTTTTGAATGTACTTAGGGAAGGAGATGATTTTAACTCGATAGGGAGAGAGTTCCACAGAGAAGCTGCTGCATATGAAAAGGTCCTTGAGCCAAATGATTTGAGATTGTAGCTCGGGACAGCAAGTAACAGTTGTTGTGATGAGCGCAGAGTTCTTTCTGGAGAGTAATATGAAAGCGTATTAATCCTACATTTCAAACACAATCATCATCTTCCTAGATGATACCTTCATCTTGGTTGAAAATACTTTGATCAACATAGAAGGTGCTTTCATCACCGTAGACAGTTCTCATTTCTCCGTAGATGATACGTATACAATGTATGTATCCATATGATATTATAATTTACTTAGAAGGTATTATTTACTATCGAATTATCAATTTATATCGTAACCATATTTTCTCTATTGATCGACAACAGTTCCGTGACTGTTTCGTGTAACCTTGAACAAATTGCTCAGTTAAATAGGACGATTTTATGGAATCCTGGAAGGGACATTGTCGCGTTGTCGCATTGCCGCTTGTCGCTCTTTGGAGGAATAGAAAAATATTATTCAAAACGCGACACGCGACATCGCGACAATGCGACAAATAGGCGAAATGTCGCGTTGTCGCGATGTCGCGTGTCGCGTTTTGGTGTATTTTGCCTCACTTTTCTTGTTTTTGAGAGGGCGACAATGCGACATAGCGACAAATTCCCTTCTCGGATTCCATACGATTTGTATGACTTTCAAACATGTTATGTGTTTTTAAAAGCACTATCTGAACAATCAATAAAGTAACTTTTCATTTAGTTAAGTTCAGGTTATGTTAAAGTTGCGACTCGCTAGACAATATCGAGGTCTAAGTTACGATACGCACGATCATAATGTGCCATATGGAGATGAAGAAGAATCTTCTACGGGGTGAAAATATCGTCTGGGTGGTTGTAAGTATCGTCTATGTCGGGAAGTAAATATCTTCTACGTAGATGTAATAATCATATACGTAGATAAAAACAATGTGGCACGAAAACAAGTCCATATTGAACCTGAAACAAACTGACATTGTCTGGGTCAAACAATCGGAGCAATCGAAGTATCGAGCCTGGAGCAAGTGTACTTGTTCCTTTCTTTTCTTAAAGGAACAATGTTACGCTTTTTCGACAATATTTTAACCTATATTTTATATAAGGGGCATATACGCTCACTTAAGCTTCCTATTGATGCAATAAAAGATTTGTTATCCCTTACGACTTGCCTGAAATCGATAATTGAAACATCGAGGCGAACAGCTTCCAAACAGAATGTAAACAAAACTGTCGGTGTTCGCCGAACTGGTTTCAATCATGTGCGTTGGATATTCGTAAAGATAGTCGTAAAAAGGGACATAACTCTATGGGGTTCGCTTGAAAAATGTTCGGCCGGTATAATAAGTCGATTTAATGAAACGTTGTATTAATTCATTCGAACTTTTTAGTTTAATACTGTAATCTAAATACGTAATTGTTTTAAAAATATATTACATGGTAGCTTCCCTGAGGGCTACGAGAATGCATTATGTATTTTTAGAGAAATGTGGTGTGGCATTGTGCCTTTAAACATGATCTTTTGTCAAAGGAAAATGCACACGTTGGTGTTACACCATATTGGTAAGGTAGCGATAATGTGTTCGACTGAACGCTGTTTTGGAAGGTAGCGATATACGGGCGAATGTGAGTGTTGGTTGTTGTTGTTTTTTAACTTAATAATGTACTTGTTGACGTGAGTGTTGCCTTGGCAAGGTAAAGATGTACGTGCTGAAATAAATGCTGTCTAGACAGTCAGTCAATGAGTGTGGTCTTACACACTGTACCAATGTGGGGAATCGTCTCCGGCGTACCTCCACCGCCCCTGACTTGACAAGGTTGTGTTGTACATGCTGATGTCAGTGTACGGGCTGATGTGAAGGTTGTTTGGGCAACTTAGTGATGTACGTCTTTGACATAAGAGTGAGTGAGTGAGTATGGTTTTACGCCGCTTTTAGCAATATTCCAGCAATATCACGGCGGGGGACACCAGAAATGGGCTTCACATATTGTACCCATGTGGGGAATCGAAACCGGGTCTTCGGCGTGACGAGCCAACGCTTTAACCACTAGGCTGCCCCACCGCCCCTCTTTGACATAAGAGGGAAGGAGAGTGAGTGAGTATGGTTTTACGCCGCCTTTAGCAATATTCCAGCAATATCACGGCGGGGGACACCAGAGTAAGTGAGTGAGTGAGTATGGTTTTATGCCTCTTTTAGCAATATTCCACAAAATCACGGCGGGGGACACCAGAAATGGCTTCACATGAGGGAAGGAGAGAGAGGGGTACACAAAGTACTTGGTCCAGACTACCATTTATGTGGAGGTGACGAGTGGATTAAATCTGTGGTTTTGTGTGTGGGCGATTAGGTACCTCACTCTGAGAGTGTGGGTTCGAATTCCGGATGGGACTCAACTACAATTCAAAAAACGTATTAGAATATGTATCTTAACTGAGAAAGCGTACCCGTTAAATTTGACCACATTCTAAAAAGAGTTATGTATTCAAACTCGTTGCTTCGCTCCAGCAAAATATCACCCGTATTACATTTCTTTACAAATTTTACCCTGTGCTGACGTGACGTGATCCCGTCCTTTGGTCAACGAATGTCGAACACCTCTGTGGTACAGTTTATAGATCGTCTGCATGAATGGTCGGTATAGTTCGATTCCCGGTAGCGCCAGATTAAAAATATGTTATATTTATGGTTTCCCTGCCTGGCTTTTGGTATTAAGGGGATACAAGTGCTGAACGGCACAAAGTCAGTTTACTGTGTTGGAGTGAGTATCAATGTTAAACTGAGGCATAGTATCTCAGTATGCTAGCAGTAATAACACTGCCCGTAGTCCAGACAGCCTTTACAAATACACGTGATGTGTGTGCATGTGTGTGGCTTTCCCACCGGGACAGATCCTATGGGCTTCAATGGCAAGAAAGTGGTGTGTATACCTGAGTGAGCGAGCTGAGTGAGTGTGCTTTTAGCAGTATTCCAGCAATATCACTAGGGACACCAGAAATGGGCTTCACACATTGCAACCATGTTGGGAATCGAAACCTTGTCTTCGGCATGACGAGCGAACCCTTTAACCACTAGGCTACCACACCGCCCCTTACCCGGTAGGATATCCTCTCACAAACTTTGTATAGTAAGTACGTGTTTTGTTGTCGCAGTCAGCCGATATACAATGCGGACAAAACACCGACGTAGAAGGGTTAGCGTAAGTGTTATAATATATATTTGAATGTAAGCAAGCGCTTGAATCTAGATCAGACCTAGATTTGAATACCGTACAAAACTCGATAGAAATGAAGCTTTAGCCACGGATTTGATAGGACGTTAATTGGCGTTGGAGTGAGTGTGTATGATCTTACGCCGCTATAAGCAATATTCCACCTATATCACGCCGGGACACCAGAAATATGGCTTCACACATTGCAACCATGTGGGGAATCGAACTCGGGTCTTTGGCGTCACGAGCGAAGGCATTTATCTCTCGTTGGAGTTGGACATGTCAGATATAGTAAGCATGCTTCAATCACAACTTTCTTATTTCTCGTAGATGTTTTCCTATAACTCCTGTGTGCAGACATCTTGAAAACATCGACGTACATTAACCACCACGTACAAGAGGTGCAAACAAACACACCGTACGTTAACACTACAACATCCAGAGTCCTGGTCTTTTTCAAATCATTATCTGTCGTCGGCGTGGTGGTTGTTGAGGTAGTCTGCTGCTGCTGTGAAGTAGTAGAGAGGGCTGATGTAGAAACACTCCTTCTCATCGATTGTGGTGTGGTCATCCGGCCTGTGCAACACGGATACTAAATTAATTCAAGGTTTTAGAAGGTGTCCTTCTGTGAAAACTTCTGAAAAGAAAGCAATGGTTGTCTTTCATATAAATCTGATATTTCTAATCCTAATTTAAATTACTAATATGACGGGGTCGTGCTGACGTCAGGTTTCTCTTCTACCAATGCTGGGCGATGGGGTAGCCTAGTGGTTAAAGCGTTCGCTCGTCACGCCGAAGACCCGGGTTCGATTCCCCACATTGGTACAATGTGTGAAACCCATTTCTGGTGTCCCCCCGCCGTGATGTTGCTGGAATATTGCTAAAAGCGGCGTAAAACCAAACTCAGTCAGTCAGTCAGTCAGTCCAGGGCACTGTCTATTGTCTTAAGACAACACTGTTTAGTGTTACTTCTTTAAGAAGCATTTTGGAAGTTGTAAAGATGAAGGAACACCAAGAACTATGGATAGTCAACTTCTATCTTCTGTTTGGTGTTATTTCCATACGATGCTAGGAACCAGTATCTGCATCGATGTGGTTTTTTTCAGTAAATCTCATATCAAAGAAGCTGTTGTGGTATGACGGTGGTATACGCGAAGTGAAACCATTCCAGGTCCGTGATTCTACCCACAACCGAGAAATATGATGTAAAACGACATGTCCGTATTAATACACCGCGAGTTACCTCCCATGATATGTACACCTAAGTCCAGGCCATGGTGAATATTAAGAGAGTGGATGTAGGGGTTGGGGTGTGTTAGGGGTGGCGGGTGGTATCTGTTACAGAAGTTTCGTTGGCTCAAATCATACAAACTTATAGATGTATTATTATTCAAATTAATAAATTCCTAGAGATTCCCTGGCATTTGATTAGGCATGCAATTGTTTTCTTGTGTTTATGTTTTCGAAACCAGAAAATATAGGCACGCCCTCTAAATGACGAGTAGACTGTTTCCTTATTGGCTAATAAAAGAGTGGGATGGGCTTGTGCTGTATTCTTCTCGTCACTGATTCCGTTATAGGGAAACTAAATCACATAGATTCCCAGACAACCAGTTAATGCCTACTAATTACTAATGGGCATAGTAACAGCACCCCCGAGCGTCAAAGAACACAATAACACTTTAATTTAAACAGGCTCACTCAGCTGGCTCCAAGCAATAACAGACACCCTCACAACCCCTCCCCAAAAAAAAAATAAATAAATAAATAAAATAAATAAAATAAAATAAAACAAAATTAAAAATAAATAAAAATAACAATAAAAATAAATAAATAAATAATGGTCAGATTCATAATTTGAAAATATTAACATTTTATATACAATAAAGGTCAACATATTAGATTTACTTTGCACAAGTTTAGACCAGTAACACAATATATAGTTTGTGACGTCAAAAAAGAATACGAACCCGATTCTCCGTATACAATTGTAGGGGAGTACTTTTTTGAACAGATAATAGCATTTTTAGAAAGCGTGATTGTGCAATTTCTAAAACAGATATTTTGTTAAGACCCCAGACTGAATAACCAAATATCAGTAGCACTAGGCACAAACTAAATGACAGTAAGTAATATTTAGAGAAAGGTGTGAGTGAGGGGATGGCATCGCATAGTGCATAAAGTTGCTAATAATAGCAACGTAAACGTGATCGGGCGGTCAGACTTGGTGGCTTCGTTTATCGATTTCAAGTACCGACTTTGTTGGGCATTGCTCATAAGATTAACCTAATGTTCGTTTATAACACTCGATTATCTTTATTTCGCGTGATTGGACATTATATTATTGACTGTGGTGTAATGAATAAAGAAAGAAAGAAAGAAAGAAAGAAGGAAAGAAAGAAAGAAGAAAGAAAGAAAGAAATAAATAAGAAAGAAAGAAAGAAAGAAAGAAAGAAAGAAAGAAAGAAGAAGAAAGAAAGAAAGAAAGAAAGAAAGAAAGAAAGAAAGAAAGAAAGAAAGAAAGAAAGAAAGAAAGAAAGAAGAAAGAAAGAAAGAAAGAAAGAAAGAAAGAAACAACTCCTCTGGTTACCTGTGTGAGCGGATCATCTTGATGGTGACAGTTACATTGGTGTTTTTCTCCACCACCACACCGGGCAGGTAACACAGAGGATTCTTTGGCCCGTCAGTCGTCACCGGTGCCAACACGTGGTCGTTCACCCGTAGTTTCCGCAATGGCGTCAGGCCCCCGAACACATGGATCGCCTCCACAACGGTTTCTGTCTTGTCCAGCCAGGTGATGACGTATTTGGTTAAACTCCCGCTTAACAATTCTTTAACTGTACCTGGGTGATATAAAATCACTCGTATTAGCTATTAGCACGAATGGCCAAATCACTGTGCAAAGTTATGTCCCTTAGGCGTACCAGAATCCTATGATGGTGGGTTTTATCACTGATTGTGTTAAGGGCTTATATGTGTTTGTTTGTTTAACGTCGCACTCACACAATATTCCAGCTGTATGGTCTGTAAAATAATCACGTCTGGACCAGACAATCAAGTGATCAACAGCATCAGCATCGATCGACGCAACTGGGATACGATGCCATAATGAGCATCAACATCATGGGAACCGATGACATGTGTCAACCAAGTCAGCTAGCCTGGCCACCCGATCCAGTTTGCACCTCATACGACAAGCATGGGTTACTGAAGATCAATTCTAACACTGATCTTTACGTGTCTAAAGCTCTTATAATTTAAACAGATATCATTTCATCAGTTTAACGACGATATAGATATGATCCAGACTGTATAGGAATATTTACTGATCAAATTAGTGAAAATATATCGGTGATGACACCAAGTGTTCGCGAAAACGGTAAGCATGTTCTGCTCTATCCTTAACAACCGGTTCTCACACAATTTGCATAATAGGTAAGCGTTAGTTTGTTGCATAAAGTCACACGACGGTGCCCCTGCCTTGACACTATACTACCGAGTCTTGACCAGACAGCGGACCAGATAGTCTGGTGACGCGGCAGTCCGTTTCCAGATTTAGTTGAAACTCAAACCGGCATGTGCTTTCGTCATGTTTTAATCTGTATTTAAACACTTTATAGTATGACGTTGTTAGAATTTCGTCCGAATGTATATAAAAAAACATTTCCATTTACATGAACAACAGTTTCACCTATGTGATATTCTCCTTTCTTGTGTTTTGCCAGAACTTCCATTGTTTCCCATTTCTTTGCTAACATTGTGATTATCTTTTCGTCGTAGGCACCCTTTTCCAAAGCTAAACAAGCGATGTAGTCTCTTTCCTGGGACACACTTATGGTCTTGGTCAGTCCGGCCAGGTGTACTCTCCATGCCTTGTCCTGCACCTCAATCACAGTGGCGGGACAGTAGCTGTTGGGGTACAAAGGAGTGCATCACCAGCACCTGCACAGAGAAAATAGTCTGAATAATTATTATCTAGATGAGACAGAAGTAATAGTCTGTAAAGAGTTTTTCAGTTTAGATGCAGAATCTGTTAACGTCAACAAAGCCACCTATAAATACACGAAGTGGTCTCAGTACATCAGCCATCAACGCTCAGATGTACCTAACGAGGTCTCAGGACATCAGCAAATAGAGGTACACCACGTGGTCCTTCTTTGGAAGACCTCAGCGATTAGAGGTACACCACGTGGTCCGTCTTTGGAATGGTGGTGGTGGTGGAATTGGGTTTAACGTCGTGCTTGAGAATATTTCATATGACGACCCGTCTTTGGAAGACATTAGCGATTAGAAGTACACCACGTGGTCCGTTTTTGGAAGACACCAGCGACTAGAGGTACACCACGTGATCATTCTTTGGACACCATCAGCGCCTAGAGCTATACCACGTGATCATTCTTTGGACGACATCAGTGCCTGGAGCTATACCGCGTGGAGCTACTTTGGACACCATCAGCGCCTAGAGCTACACCATGTGGCCCTTCTTTGGACGACATCGGTGCCAAGAGCTATACCACGTGGTCCTTCTTTGGAAACAATCAGCGGCTAGAGCTATACAATGTGGTCCTTCTTTGGACGACATCGGTGCCAAGAACTGCAAGGCATGGTCTTTCTTTGGACACCATCCCCGCCCAAAACATCGTGGTATCATCACATCATCAACACACAGACGTCAAAACGTGACCTTTGGACACCATTGCCTTCCAGAGTAACACGCAAGACCTTAATATGATCATCAGCAATACGTACGACAAGATTGAAACGATAGACATTTTCAACGGTCTATATCCAGGGAATCATATCGACATCGCAACTGGTCTAGGCCGCATTATAAGCGTAGAAACACTTCTTGCTCACCTTGCTACGCTTCCTGATTGCATCAACATGTCGGTCTGATTCACAGATGATGTCTTCCCGCCAGATCTTCTCTTGGAAGCCGTTGCAGTCAGTAATGATGTAGCTGAAGTCACAGCAGTCGTAGGTCACCTCGCCTGTGATAATATTCAGAATTACACGTGGAGAAGGGCTAGACGGATTAGGAAGGGTGCAAATGAGGTAAATGTGGCCGTGCTATATAAATATATCGTCGGTTTCGCTGTACATCAGCTTACAATTGTGTGTGACAAAGGAGTTGATGATCCAAGTACACGTTCTTGATTGATCGTATGAGGCGACGTATGGAACGGGCGGTCAGGCTCGACGACATGGTTGATAGTGTGCTAACGTAACCCAACACCGTAGACCGTCGTTCATTAATTATAATTCCTGTTTAGACCAAACTATCTTGCTCTCTTTAATTTACACAATTACTTCACTCAGCAATAATTTAGATTTATGACGGCAAGCTGTAAATAATGCAGTTAGGGCTAGACAAACTAGTAATCGATAGCAGGAACAATGTGCTATGAGCTGTAAGAGAATAAATATTTAAGTTAATGTAATTGTGGTCGATGCTCTGAAATGTTAGGGTGTTAACGTACCTTTGCTTCCTGTTGTAACATGTTAACGGTACGTGTTAAATGGATAGGATGTTAACGTACCTGTGCCACCTGTCGTTAGAGGGATAAGACGTTAACGTACCAGTGCTACCTTTTGTGAGAGGGATAAGATGTTAACGTACCTGTGCCACCTGCCGTTAGAGGGATAAGATGTTAACGTACCTGTGCCACCTGTCGTTAGAGGGATAAGACGTTAACGTACCAGTGCTACCTTTTGTGAGAGGGATCAGATGTTAACGTACCTGTGCCACGTTTTGTGAGAGGGATAAGATGTTAATGTACCTGTGCCACCTGCCGTTAGAGGGATAAGATGTTAACGTACCTGTGCTACCTTTTGTGAGTGGAACCAGATGTTAATGCACCTGGGCAAACTTTTTTTAGGAGGATAAGACGTTAACGTACCTGTGCTACCTTTTGTGAGTGGAATCAGATGTTAATCCACCTGGGCTACCTTTTTAAGAAGGATAACGTACCTGTTGTACCTTTTGTGAGAGGGATCAGATGTTAATGCACCTGGGCTACCTTTTTTAAGAAGGATAAGATGTTAACGTACCTGTGCCACCTGTTGTGAGAGGGATCGAGGTTAATGCACCTGGCTAACTTTTGTGAGAGGAATAAGATGTAAATGTACCTGGGCCACCTGTCGTTAGAGGGATAAGACGTTAACGTACCTGTGCCACCTGTTGTAAGAAGGATCGAGGTTAATGCACCTGGCTAACTTTTGTGAGAGGGATCAGATGTTAATATTGTACGTTGGGTAATATTTTAAGGTACCTGTGCTTCCTGTTGTAGGATGATAAATAGTTAACATACCTGTAGCTACAGGATGTGTGATTGTAAGATGTTAACGTACCTGTGCTACAGATTGTAAGAATTATAGATGTTAACAAACCTATACCACAGGTTGTGAGATGGTGAAATGATGCCATACCAAATCTGTTAGCTGTGAGGTTGTGAGATATAAACGTACCTGAATAGTACCATCCATCATCCGGGCTCTTGAAGAGAACGTTCTCGCCGATCTTCGCGATGGGTAAGAGCCTCCTCAGTCGTACCAACAACAGATCATCTTTAAGACAAAACCAAATTATATTCATCATAATCAACGAAATGGTCAAATTATTTTTATATGTTATTTGTTGCTAGTGTTATCGTAGCGATGTACGTTTGAAAAGTTCATACATGGTCATGGACACTACTATCAACACGCAAAAGAGAACTGTTTTTGAAGACAAGTTGTACACTGACGAGTGAAGAGTACGATTTCATTTTCATTTATATGTGAAAAGTATTTTTAATTAATAAATTCCATATTCTTAAGAAATATATATTACATACTAATGTTTGCAAAATATGGCAAACTATACTGTGTGTTCATCATTTTTGGTTTAATGAGAAAACATACTCATATTTTGTTACAAGTTGTTTACGCTTTCGCTGGATCACGATGAAGACCCGTTTTCGATTCCAAACATGCGTACATGTGTGAAGCCTAATTGATGTCCACAGCCATGAAAGTTCTAAAAGCGGTGTAAAACCAAACCCACTCACTAACTGTGGTCTATAATTTGCATATTACTGTGGTCTATAATTTGCATATTATCCACACGATATAATCAATGCAAATGCATGAGATGAGTAACCGGGAACTGATGAACAATGGGCATGTCCAAGGCGTGTTTAAATCTAATTCTTCTTTGAGTGGCATTTTAGAAGTTGGAACGTACAATACTGAACAAACTTTATGGATAACAACTTCTTTGATTTCGTGAGTGCGACGTTTCGATAGAGATTCTTCAATCGTTGTCAAGCAGGAATGTCGCATTCACGAAATAAAAGACGTTGTTGTCAATAAAGTTTGGGGGCGGTGGGGTAGCCAAGTGGTTAAAGCGTTAAAGACCCGGGTTCGAATCCCCACATGGGTACAATGTGTGAAGCCCATTTCTGGTGTCCCCGCCGTGATGTTGCTGGAATATTGCTAAAAGCGGCGTAAAACCAAACTCAGTCAGTCAATAAAGTTTGTTCGATATTGTGTTTAACTCTCCCCAGACAAACTACCACAGAGCACATTGTTGGAGGTGATAAACCTTGAATCATGATCAAGACGAATCTTGAGGAACTTAACCCTATTGTGTTATAGGTGATGGTAAAAACAGTGACCAACCTTTGGAGAATTCTTTCCTGAAATTGAATTACACTGAACTATTAATATAAACGTTCTTTCAGCCACGAATACTTCATATGCTTGGTTGGTTGTTTGGTTGGTTTGTTGTTTAACGCCGCACTCAGCAATATTCCAGCTACATGACAGCGGTCTGTAAATAATCGTGTCTGGACCAGACAATCCAGTGATCAACAACATGAGCATCGATCTACGCAATTGGGATACGATGGCATTTGTCAACCAAGTCAGCGAGCCTGACCACCCGATCCCGTTTGTGGCCTCTTACGACAAGCATGGGTTGCCGAAGACCAATTCTAACGCGGATCTTCACGGGTACTTTAAATGGATTCAAGTTTTATTTCAACTTATGATATGATTTCGACTTGTTTCACATCGTGAATAGGACAGATGTTCCTCAGGTGCTATAGCTAAAACAGATGGCTCGTCACTTTGAAAGGTATTGCGGTTTATCACGTCGTGTGTCTCTGATGATTGCGCTAATGAGCACGACAATGGTTTGATTGTTGTTACATGCAGCTTTTTACAGCTATATAACGGCGGTCAGTACATTATCAAGTCTTGTCGAGACAATCCGGAGATTGACACCATGAGCAAAAATCCACGCAGTTTGGAAACGATGACAAGCTATCAACAGAGTCATCAAGCCTGACCACTCTATCATTTGAATCGACCTTTCTGACAAGTATAGGTTGCAGAAGACACAAAAATCACGTGGATTGTGGATGAAAAGAGCTTTACATATGCATATGTACATCTTGAGAAATTGTTGAAATAACAGGAATCAACTTCATCACGTCTTTGAGACGCAAATTTAGTGGTATGTTGCAGCGACCTGGACTGATCAACACATGAATAATATGAAAAAAAGTTAAAAAAAGTACTAGGAACTAAAGTACTGTCGGAAATAGAAAAAAAACCTGTTTTTCACATTTATATCTACAATTTAGGTAGTTAATATTTGAAAGTGTGAAATATCTGTTAAAACTAATTCGGCCTAACTACAGTCGCAGTGGGAGGGAGATAGGAAACGTAAAAGGATTTTACTGAGGAGAGATTAGTGCAGAAATGAGCAATGCGGTCCAATGCGACTTATTCACAACAGACCATGGCTTTATGCAAATTAGTGTGCGATGATATTGTATTACAAAGGACACTTTTTAAATGATCATTTTGAAATTAGTCTTTGCTTCAATATAAACGATAGCAGACGTAAAAAATAATAAATTTAATACTGAAACTATTAAGGATGTAGCTACCATGACATCTCACTATCACTATAAAAAGAAACAGGTAGGAGGGATCGTCTCAAAAGCAAAACCAGGACGGGTGTCGCAGACGGTGGTTGGGGTCGGGCTGGGGAACTGAGATATTAGCTAAGATAAGAAAATCAATAGAGACATATTCAATACACATGAAAAAACATAAAATATCTTAGAGATGACCCCTTGTGTCTGTGGGCAGCACGTGCATTTCATGCCATGTGAGTCGACGATCCGTCGTCATACCTGGCTGATCGACCTAATTGCCATCTATTGTTTTCAGCAGCTATTCGTATTTTTTTTCTAAGTTTTGCCCGATTTCACGCGTAAACATGCTTTTCTGGATATCCTATTACGCATCCCTCTGAACGCCCAGTTAGGCCGATGTGGGTTATTTCGACATATGCTATTTGCAATTGTGTAAATTTTAGTGATACAGAGTAACAGCCTAAAAACAGTTTTTTCTATTTCCGACAGTACTTTAGTATTGCTTAAGTTACATACTCATCACGTCCTCGTAATGGATACAAGTCAATCCGTTTGACTTCTCTCTGAAACACGAAACACGAAGTATTACGTATAATAAACTACAAACAGATTCACCAGCTAATATAATATTATCGTTTCCAACATGTTAATTATAGTTCTATCTATATATAAATAATATACTGTATAATATTTGCACATGTATGAGATGCATAGTTTTCGCTTTCCAGCATGCTGTATATATCCTGTAAAACACATTATATATATATATATATACATATATCAACACTGTACACAAGCTTCCACTGTAAATTGTTCATTCCCATCATGTAATATTATGTTAAACTGTATTTCGGAGATGGCGACAATAGACAATTAGTGGTGCACTTATGCCTAATCCCGTTGCATTTTGGACTGTAAAATATGTTTAAACCAACTATATTTTAAACAATTTCTGCAGATTTTACCAACTGATTTTGGTTATGAAAAATACATTATCAAAATGCTGTATTTGTTTCTATCAGGTGCTCTGAAATTCGGCTTGAACTTCACAAAGGTCCCATCACAAATAACAGACAAGATATTTCATACAGTGAAAATTGACCCCATCTCATAAGACGCCAATTCGGTAAGAAGGTTTATAAGCGTCTGTTCACGGGTGATTAAGCTTCAAGGAATTTGCTAATCAAAGACTGCGAATTCAAACTTTTACAACTTCATACACCAAATAACAGCTTAAAGCAAATAAGCCGTGGCATGTGTGGAGCCCAGTTTTCTTCTCCCTAGTATAAGGAGGGTCTGGCTGTTTCATGAGTGCCCCAAGGGCCCCAGTGCCAAGGGCACGCGTATAAAATATATACATAAAACTGCTTTAGTTAATTTATATTTGCCACGTTAACTGGACATTATCTGCACATAATTCAACTATCTTTCAGCCATGTTCCCTTAATAACATCTTTAAAGTGGTTATAAAAGTGGTGGCACTGGAAACGGAAAAGAGTTGTGATATAGTGAAGAATGCATATGTGCAATAAATGAAACTTAACAGCATATTAGCTCTTGCTCACGCATAAACAATCTAATTACATAAAATGACTGTCGGATGGCTGGGGTGTACGTATGGGTTTTTTAATCATTAAATGTTTTTTTGCGATGTGTTACGTTCTACAACCTTTTCAGGGAATTTCAAGATACTAAGTTGAAATATCAAGCTTTGAAAGATGAAAGTTCATCTTACTATGTTTGAATTTCAGGATATGTAAGTCGACATTCCATGTTACTGTAATGTTTTAACACAACATGTACACAGTATAAATATGTTCCAATGTAGCGTATTTCAAGTTAGTATTTATAAAATTCAGTTCATTATACCAAGGAGACTATATAACGCTGTAGATTATCTAGTGAAGTGACAGTGGAAAATACTTGACAGTCTGTCGAATCTGAACCCTGAAATTGGCCAACACATGATGTTTATCTCCTAATTATACTGAAAATTCAACTTTGTGTGTATCGAAACATTTCAGCTCAATTTATTGAAATATGAACACAGTATCGTGAAATTTGAATTTAGTATCTAAATTTCAAGAAAAATAGTAACATACATTTAAACACAAATGCACAAAATAGATCTAACACCGTGACGGTAAACACAGCGAAAGGAAACACGTTGGTCTGAACACTATGTATTATATCAATAGGAACACTACGGTCTACAAATGGTTTGTTAATCTAGAGACTTCTTAATTCGGACGATTTGACTAGACTCGGAACAGCATGGAATTACTTAGTGCTCGCTATAAGCATTGAATACACGATTATCTTCAAAGTTCACATTGGAATATCCTGCCTATCATCTCCTCATATTCAGTTAACATACCACAAACAGTTTAATGAGATGAAAGAGACAAGCGATTAACTTGGGTGGTCGTCGGTTTTAACCAAGTGAAGACTTAAATATTACTTTTGTGTGAGCAGGTATGCAGCTTCTGTCAGACCAAAACTCCCGATGGACGTATATTTTGTGAAAATATTTTATTCAATATTTCTATCTACAGAAACAGTGACATGAATAACAAATCGGTAATTCAAAATTCGTCATTAAGACATTTACGGACCTGGGCCCCGTTTCACAAAGCTCTCGTAAGCCTAAGATCTCGTAACTTTTCTCGTAGCATTCGTACCTCCTATACTGTATCATATGAGGTACGAATGCTACGAGAAAAGTTACGAGATCTTAGGCTTACGAGAGCTTTGTGAAACGGGGCCCTGGTAGAGTCGAAAGTGCAAATTCAGTCAACTACGGTTATACCGAACCCAAAGGGACCACTAATTGAAGTATATTATGACTGTAGTCGTATTTAGAGTACTAAAACAGTTCGTTATATCCGTCAGTTCGTTATAAGCGTGTTCGTTATAAAGGTAATTTAATGCACCTCCAATTCAGTTGATCTTTAGCCTTCTGTAATTCCTGCATTCGCACTGTAACGTGGAGTTTAAGTGCCGTGCTCTGTATTTCAAATCTATATTCATACAACAGACGACTCTTGAAGGTCCCGGTTAGAATTGATCTTCAGTAACCCATGTTTGTCGTAAAAGGCGACTAACAGGATCATGTGGTCAGGCTCGCTGACTTGGTTGACACATGTCATCGTATCCCAATTGCGTAGGTTGATACTCATGGTGTTGATGACTGGGTTGTCTGGTCGAGACTCGATTATTTACAGACTGCCTTCATATAGCTGGACTATTGCTTAGTGCGGCGTTAAAACAAACAAACAAATGATACAATAGACAGTAAAATCTCCTTAGTCAGGGACTTCACTGCTTTCACTGTCATGAGGTATCGTTTAGAAGGAAGTGTACATGTCTGCTTCTGTTCATAACATTTCCTGCTGTTGCACTATTTCGTGAGCAAACCCCTATGAAGGTATATCCATACTAGTCCATAATACAAATGACACCATACTGGAAAAACTTCATGTCATCAGTGGTGTCTTCATCAAAGTATTATCTGCAACTCCTTATAAATATGTGCATATTAAGGGTAACATTTCGTATTCTTAAGCCTTTATATAAAGTTCTCCTGGATACTATTTAGCTTTTAAGGCATTGTTGCCAAAATCACACGAATTAAAAAAATAGCATGAGGACACTTCTCGTAAGAAGGACACAAGGTTACAGAAGAAGCTCATTTACACATAGCTTGAACCATTTTGTGAAGGAAAACATACAGTTCCTCTCGTCACCTCGATGTATATATTGAACAGTTGATGTATATATATGCATATTACCGGGTCGAATGATGCAGAACTGATACTTTGTAATTGTGAAATAATGGCACGAAAAAAATGTGGTAAAAGTCTTGGAAACAATGTATAAAACCGTTAAGGTGCACCTCCTATAAAGAAAACCTATGTTTCCTGGTTTTACATTTGAACAGAATTCAAATATGGCCGCCATTTCCCATCTGCTGAGGAAATTATTTTAATATATAACTGTCTTTGAGAGTGTGATATTGGCTTGATGCATAGCAAATTCTTTTTACCCCACATTTTCTCAAACTTTGTACTTTACCAAAAGATGGATGTGTGCTTCTAAAAATGCCACACATATGTGCGGAAAGTTGACAAATTATACGTAAAATACAAAGCATAAATACAAGAAATTTATATGAAAACTTTAAAAATAGTGTTTGTTATTTTATGACAGGAGAACATCATGTTCCTGAAATTGCTATGTGCATGTAAACGAACTTCATATATACGTGTAACTTTTCTTTCGTGTGACATTGCAGGTATGAACAGTGTTTTGGTTAAATATGTTCACTTGACAGTGTCTGGCTGTTCAGTAATGCGTTGATTCTTCAATCGTAAATATTTACTCATTAAATGCTATTGTGAATGAATATACATGCCTGCGATCCGCTAACGTTCCTCCCCTGCCGTGAGTGAGGTAACACTTCTATCTGACTCAACCCCTTTCATGGTAGTTGATTTCATGACGGGGCAGTCATTGTCTCTTCGTCGACACCGGTGGCGACGTGACCCCTCATTAAGCTACAGTTAAACTTTACGACGTTGTGTGGCCAGGTATATAAGCCTGGCAAGATAGAGACTTGGCACATCATCTCAGCCACCATGAAGGTAAGAGTAATCATCCTTTCATCATTATGATGAAACTTCTCCCTCTTTTCCTAGTGTATACACTGGTTATTATCCTTATATAGGGACTGATTTTAGAATATTTATCTTAAATCTTGTCTCATACGTTTATTACTATTTGCATGCAATTGTATCACGTCCACATTCATTGTTTTTACAAAAGAAATAGTTTGGTTTCTCCAGTTTACATTGGTTCCTTGTTTTAATATCAAGGATGGATAACCCTAGAGACAAAAAAGTGTTACCGCCAGCATGATCTAATTAACAAAATATATTAGGCTATGTTCTCCTATTTCTTCTTCAACGTATACGGTTGTCAGTGCGAGAAACTCATCCGATGCCCATATTGTCTATGGTATTACGCCGCATTTAGCAATATCACTTCGGCAAACACCAGAAATGAGTTTTACATATTTTACAAATGTGGGGAATCGAACCCGGGTCCTCGGCGTGATGAGCGAATCCTTTAACCACTTCGGCGTGATTAGTGAATGCTTTAACCACTAGGCTCAGTGACCTGAATGTTGGTGGTGTCGAGAATTACTGTTCTCTCACTCCAAAGATTAATACTTCATAATAACGAATCAATAAAGTTCTTGGGGAGGTGGGGTAGCCTAGTGGTAAAAGCGTCCACTCGTCACGCCGAAGGCCCGGGTTCGATTCATCACATGGGTACAATGTGGTGAAGCCCATTTCTTGTGTCCCCAGCCGTGATAATGCTAAAATATTGGTAAAAGCGGCGTAAAACCATACTCACTCACTCACCCACGTTGAAGTTCGTCAACGGACTGAGTTAATAAAAACATTCAGTCGAGCAAAACGAATATGTTTGATTGAAACGTGAAATTATTTTCAGTGTCTCCTCGTCGCCGTCGTCGCTCTGTGCGGCGTTGTATCCAGCATGCCCTACAACAACAACTTTGGCGCTGTCGGACAGGTCGGACACATTGCGGCGGGTCTCAACGACTACGGCAAGGGACAATATGGAGGCGCCGAGGGTCTTCGTCGTTACGGAAGCTACAACAAAGCGGCCAATGCCGCCAGCAAAGCCGCCGACAACTACGCCGCCCACGGTAACGACTACCACAAGGCTGCTGACCATGCCAGCGCAAAGGGAGACGCCGCCTCCAACTACTACGGCCACAAGAACGCCGCTCACGCTGACAAAGCCTCCGGTGCTGCTGCTCTGGCCAACAAAGCCAACTACCACGATGCTGCTGCCACAAAGTACGCAAGGAAGGACGATGCCTCCAAAGCTGCTGCCAACAACGACTACGCCAACAACAACTACTACAGAAAGGGGAACGTCTATAACACCGGAGTCCACTACGGCTTCGACAAGAAGTATAACAAGAACGCCGATGAGGGCGGTGACTACGAAATTCTTGATGACAGCTCTTCCCACAACCTCGACGAATACCGTGACAAGAACGCGGCCTACAGCGCTGCCAACAGAGACCACGCCGCCAACAAATATGCTGCTGATCGATCTCATGCTCTGAAAGACAGCAAGTACGGTAAGGACGCCAGCAAGGCTCAATACGGTAACGGTAAATACGGCTCTGCTGCTAGTCAGGCTGCCAAGAACGGTGCTGCCAACCACGGTTACGACGGCAAACTTAACGAAGCTGCCGGAAGCAACAAATACTACGCCAACGCCCACGATGCTGCCGTCAACAAACATGACGAGTTCGCCGGCAAGAACGCCTACTACAACAGAAAGAACGCCGCCAATGCAGCTGCACAGGCCGCCAACAACATCGCCGGATATGGAGGTCTCGCCCATGGTGCCCATGGCGTCGCTGGTGGTGCTGGTTTCTAGGTGTATCTGGAGGTCTTCTCGGCAAAGGAGTAGGATACGGCAAGGGCTACGGTAACCAGTACGGCCACGGATACAACAATGGCTACCTCGGACATGATGCACACAACAACAAATATTACGATGCTGCCGCCCACGGTCAACACGCTAACCACTATGATGGTGCTGCCAATGCCGCCCTCGCCAAAACCGGAGGATACGGATCTAAACTGGGTGATTCCAGCCGAAGCAAGGCTGGTGCCGCCTATCACAGAGACGGCTACAACAACGCTCACGCCAACGACTACTACAAGTCTGGAGCTGCAGCTGCCAACAACAACGCCTACAGATACAATAAGGACGGTGCCGCTGCCAACAACCATGGCTTCAGTCACGCCGGTGCCGACGCTGCCAGTCTCTATGACAACAAAGCCGCCGCTCACGACAATGCCAAATCTGCCTACGCCAAAGACGACTACAGACGTAAGTACAACGAGGGGCCAAGAAACACCATCTGGTCAAGAAGTTCCACCATCATTCTAAAGCCGGCGGCAACAACTACGAGCGTCTCAACTACGACAAGAAGGACTACAGGGACAACTTTGGACAGAACGCCAATGCCGCTCATGCCAACGCAAAGAAATACTCTCAGAACCTGTACAAGAACGCTGCCAATGCCGCCGCCCATAACAACGACAAATATGCTGCCAACCACGCCAACAAAGCCTCCAACTACTACGATGCTGCTGATGCTGCCAACGGAAACGCCGCAAAGAAATCCAACTACTACAACAAAAACGCCGCTGCCTCTGCCAGTGCTGCCAACGCTGCCGCCAAGTCTCTTCATGACAACCACAACAACGCCGCTGCTGCCAACGCCAAGAGCCTCAACAACTACGCCCACAACCAGTACGGCAACAACGGTCACGCTTTCAACGTCGCCCACGGTGCTGCTGTCAACCATGCCGGTGCCGCCCACAACACCCCAGCTACGGTTACGGCGTCGGACACGGACTTGGAGGAGCTGGCCGTGGAGTTGTCGGCCTTGGTCACGGCGTCAGTGGTTACGGTAATGGGCTCGGCAGAGGAGTTGTCGGCCTTGGAAATGGCGTTGGTGGATTCGGTAACGGAGTTGTCGGACTTGGTAGAGGCTTTGGCCCTGGTCAAAGTTATAGAGGTTATAACCAGTACCCTTACTACGGGTAAACGGTGATATGTGGTCGACCGTTTTCAACACCATCCTTACTGCACAAACCCTGTGCGCTTGATATGAATGAGGAAGTGTGAATGGATTTTTTTTACCTCTCGTTTGATGTGTCTGTACACTGTGTGTTTCACAAGTATGTTTTGTTGGTGTTTTTTTGTTAATTGGAAGATACTTCCTGCTAATCTGATCTAAAAAATACCGTTTTCACAAGAATACCATTTTATGCTGGTACGAATAAGTGTCATTCAAAACCTAGTTCAGTTTTAGACATTGATTGCAGTTCAGAGAAATGCCTATAAAGCAAGAATTATGTTTAAATAAAGTGGTATTGGAAAGAACATTTCAGAACTTCTTTGCATACTTTTCCTTTGCAATAGGATACTTATCACGTTGTACTCTGTGTTTGTGCTGTGCTGTGATTTATATCTTACTTTTACCCAATCGTAAGAATAAATGTTGTCGGATAAATTTGTTCTTTGTCTTCATTATACAAAACAAGACCAGCTTGACAATAATGCTTATACTGCTCTATAGGCAATGGCAACTCATGAGTTTAAGCGGTCTTACTTACCTCGCCTTCAACTTATATTAGCTGAGCGCTCTTCTGTTATTTTCAATGTACTATAGGCGAACTGTGGGATTCAGCCTGAAGCAACTCATAATTGAACCTAGGCAGTCGTTCGGTGAAGCGGTCTCTATCTTACCTCACAATCACTCTGGTGCCCGTGTCGTTTTGAGGTGTTCTAAGATTAGATGGGTTGATATACCGTCACATAAACAAACATAGAGCGCTCCCTTCTGTTATTTATTCAATTAACATAGGTCATATCCCAACTTAGAATTACGTCACACAAAAATCTTGAGGACTAGGAATGGACATGGAACGGAAAAGGAACATTAAAAACGAAATATGATTTAAAATTACCCTGCCCTTTAATTGCAACACTTTCACTGAAGGATTATTCCTGACACTTGAGGACAGTTAGGGACNTGAACACCAGGTGTCTAAGCGGTGAAATGTCAAGCCTAGGTCTCCATATAACGAGGAAAGATTGTACGTTTCTTTCATCCATAATATATGTTCAGGTTCATTCGTTCGTGGCAGATGATTTCATTAGTAGCCTTTAGTTCCCATAAATGATTTTGATCACATCACTCAATCATCATAACATTATTTTTAACGACAGCTCATTTTGATCCAAACATGTTCAGGATGGGGTTTAAATCTTTAACGAAATACTAATTTAGGTGTGTATCTACACACGTTTAACGTCTGAGCAAGTACAGACGGTCAAAACACCACCTAAACACAACATTACCATAATATAAACATATCTGGGATTACAATGTTGAAATATAGTGAATATTTAAGCACAAAGTCAAGTTTGAGTTAGATGCATAATATTCATTAAACTTTTATGTGCATATCAGATTCACGGGCACTTGTATTTCGCATGTTCCACCACGGACTAAGTACAATATTGATATGAAAATGTACAAATAAATGCTCCAGTGTATAATATTTAACATCTATAAATGTTAGATTCAGTCTTTGGTGGCAAATGATTGATTGCATTCATTTAATCACATTACACGATTTTCATCACACTACTCTATCTTCACTACACAAACACAACATCCCCATAATATTGACATGTTGAAACACATTTATATAAAGCTATTAATGGAGCATGAAGGCAAGTTTAAATTAGATCACAATATTCATTGACACCTGCATTGCACATGTGCCACGAGAACCTACTAAAACCACGGTACAAAATGATCATGAAAATATACAAATAAACCAAACTTAATCAAAGGTGACTTGGAAAATTGAAAGGACCAGACACAAAATGTTGCAATTTCTGATCCCGTCGAGATTTTACAAGTACAGTGTGTGGCTGTTAGTATTTCTATCATAGAGGAAACGGAAGCTGGCAATGGTGGCATGTCTCATAAGACGAAGGAGACAAATTCAAAACTAAGCTTGTCCTTGAAAACTATTTGGCGTATATCCCTTTCTCATTGGCTCTTAAATTCCTCTTGTTTAGAACTCCCTGCCATAGTTTACCTATAGAAATAGGTAGGTGGCACGAAATTCCCACCAAAGAGTGAGTTTAGTTTTGCGCCGCTTTTAGCAATATTCCAGTAATTTGACGGCGGGGGACACCAAAAATGGGCTTGACACATTGTACCCATGTGGGGAATCGAAACCGGGTCTTCGGCGTGACGAGCGAACGCTTTAATAACTATGCTTCCCCAACGCCCCTCCCCCTCAAAGTAATAATATGTATCCTCTGCGATATGTGCATGTGCGATGTTGGCGATGAATTTCATTTAATTTTTCTTTGCCCTTTCTTCAAACGTCATCGAAAACACACATCCCATATGTTGCAAAAAGAGTCTGCTAAAATTTAAAGAATGTTTAAACTATAAACAAATACGTTTTTAATAAAAACTGTATATATGTAATACCATTATGAAAACTGTACCATCTTCCACGTAAACCATCCCGCCATGTTACGTATTCTTAACTGTGTATGCGTATACCTCTTATGCCGAGTGTCTCGGCCAGAGCCTAATAAAAGTTTTGTTGTTTTCCACACAGCAGGAACGTATTAGCAGCGTTCGAAATACCTGCCTGACCGACCGCCCGGGACGGGTTATTTTCAACACGGACTGCCAGTTTCTCAAATTCACCTGCCCGACGGTCGGGATAAAATTTAGACATGTATATATGAAAATATTCATCATATTTCAGGATAATAAAACATGCGGCAGTGATAACATGAAGTCAAGCATTAAACACAAATCTAAAATAAACAGTTAATTCTTTTCTTGCACTGGTATTAGTTCTTTCAATATTTTACAAGTTTTAATTTAATCATACTAAGTAAATTAGTATTTTTAGTGGGCAGGTAAGTTTTGGTCAGGTCTGGCAAGTTTTACATCTAACCAGCCCTGTGGTCTGGCTGAAATTTTTGGGAGTTTCATACCATGGTACATGTATTAGGATTTGTGTTTATGATCTAAACACGTTCTAAAAGGTTAATATAGAAGAGATGAAAATGAGCACAAAATAGTATTACCCGACTTTGACAAGTGTACGCTGACATTTGGGTAATTGTTTACAACAGATCCAAGATATTATGCGCATTACAAGCGTTCAACATTCTTTTAATCAAAATCGTCAGTCAAGTGTGTCTCTCAGTTCCTGAACGGCATTAGTTTCCCGCCCAGCCATTTCTGCAATGCAAAAGCCCTCAAAGAAACAAGTCTAGAGCCTCATCTCAATTTAAGTCTCCTTTTCCATTTAAAAGGAATTGCTTGCTTTGATTAAAAAATACATATTCAGAGATTTAGCGTTAGTCGAGTCAGAGTCATTCGGCGCGTATTAGATGACAATATATTAGTTTATGATGCGTAATATATTTTAACAATTCATTTTAATACAATGGGGTTGGAATTTTTCAACATATTTTACCTTAAGTCAGTCTTAGATTTCCAAATCCTAATAAATTATGTATCATGAATATTGCGAGAACAGATGAAAGTTTTTGAAGGAATATGTCAGAAGATTTACTTACATGTATAATGTATGAGGTTGGTTGCCTATGGATCACCTATAAAAACCATATCAAAATCAACGCAAACATGTTTGATTTCAATATCAATGCCAAAGTAGCTATTTCAACATTCTGTGGCAGGTTACTCATTTATGTCTTGAGTGGAATTGTATCTAGCTTGACTGAATTAGAAAATCGTCTCCTCCACATTTGCACAGTGCAGTGCACTTTAGAGCTGCTTTTAAGCATTTGGACCGGTTTGAACATTTTTTACACAGTATTTATCATTATTATTATTATATTATAGGACATTTATATAACGCACATATCCACGAACTGATACATGCTCAAGGCGCTTGGTTTTTTCCCCCTTGATCATTGGATGTCAATCTCAACGGCACATTGTATTATCAATCTCAACTCCCGGGGCAACAAACAACTCTTGCAGCCACTCGGCGCACCAAGTTATTGCGACTTTCCCATCCTTGCGAGGTACCCATTCACAGCTGGGTGGACTGGGACACATAGTCACAGTACTTTGTCCAAGTTTACTGCACCTTGCTGTACCCGCAACTAGGTATTTGCACGTATTCATGTGGCCGCCATCTTGTCATTTACCAACAGATTCATGGGTTCTTTTAAGTGCACAGGGTTGCGTACTGTACACTAGGGGTTGTGACAACACTTAAAAAGTCTGCACAGAAAGTTGACTCCAAGGTTTTTACAGCTGGTTACAGGTGGGCTCGATCCCGGCAAGCTCGCTGGATCACTAGCCTGGTGCCTAAGACAGCTCGCCCACCATGCCCCCCGCTCGCCCACAATGCATTTCAGCAATTCCTGGCAGCTCTTTGATGCCTTCAGAAGACTTGAAAATAGAGGTACAAGCTCTCCCTGAGAAAGTTATTGCCAGCCCCTATCCAGAGGGCTTGGTAACTCCTGTGATTTCATCAGAGATTGCCCCCAAACATAACTCCTCTGATATACAGCTCTCTATATGTTGGATCAAAGCTGATTCTGTTGGGGGTATATTGTCCAATGTTCTCCCCTTCGTGGGGAACAAATGCTTTCTTGCTTCATTCACTTTCATGTGGTTGCTTGCTCTGTGAGCAGCACAACAAATCTCTCAAGCTGATGAATCTGTGCATTAGTGATTTCAAGTGGTGGACGAGCAAGGGAAATAAAGGTGCCTGTAATTTCAGTAAACGCGTTCCATCCATTCCACGATGTCTTCTTTCCTATTCTACCAAAGGATGACACACTGTCACTTCCTGTGAAGCAGTGAAACATTGGTAGGGATCGAAAAAGCTTGTTGCAGCTATGGCCAACACAACCACATTTGTGTCAACAGTATGAATGTAAAATTTCTTCCATAAAGACAAGATATATACAGACGAGTCAAGGGATGGAAGCCTGAATGAGTTTTTCAGAC